AGATTTTACTTCCACACAGAAACTCATTCCCAGGCAAACGTATAATGTAAACTTTACCATGTATTAATTGGGCACCATGTACATTTTCCCATGTACAATGTACATCCGTAGTTATAACGAAGTAGGGGTTCAGTATCACAGCCAGGATAATTGCACTTTCTCTCCACAATAGTTTGGCTCCGTCTCGCCCCCGACTGCCCTCTAAGTATGGCCTAATCAGTTTACTATTGCTCGCTCTGATTCATGGTACCATGTGGTTCTGGACTGAGTTAGTATTGTAGCTTTGTAGCTCCCTGTTACCCTCTGGGCTCACCTGTTAGTTTCTGCCTGATGTTGTCCGGGAACTTTTTTGGTAGTTGGCAAATCTCCAAATTCACTGAATGTCAGGGACTTTGGATGGAAAACATTCCTGCAGCGTAGTCCTTTTTCTTTATAAGTGTTCACTGTTTTAAGTTTAACTGTAATCTAGGCAGCATTTTTAACGGTCCGGAGATACTATATTGGCGAGGTATTTGAGGTTCATTTTCATTGGCGAACCTGCACAATAAGCAACTGCTCAAACTCAAAATGTTGGAAACGAGTAGAATTATACGAGTTTTAAAAATATAGTACAAAATAACCAAAATTATCCCATGATCAAATTCAAAGAAACATTAAATAACTCACTACTATTTATTACATTAGGGTATGTCAGATGATAAGCCTGAAGTTAGAAAGCGAGGAAAATTTGTGAGGCAACCCTCAAGCAAGGCAAGTACCTTTGATTTTACAATTTATTAATTAATTTATACGTAATCACCCCTTCACGTTCAAGAAGAAGTCTTGATACATCTCTGCAATTTGTTTTGAATTTTGCCCTTATTGATTCAAAACTGAAAACTAAGCAATGCCCCCTCATGTCAGATGTCTATCCTTAAATAGACCTCATAAATACCTATTAAGCTATTATTACCTCCGATTTCAAAATAGGTATAGGTATTTATATAATAGACAGTTTTTGGGAGTCCCAAATAGTTTCTGATTATTCTGAATTTGCGACAAAATGATATGCACTGTTAGGATAAACGACGTTTCAAAGTAACAACTTCGTATTCATGCTCAATAAATGTATTTAATTGTAGTTGTTAAAATAGTTTAATATATTGATGAGGTTGACCTATTCCCTCACTAAAACTAAACATTTCCCCCGCAGTCTCCGTCGACCAGCTCCCCAGTTGAGGTTGATGCCGGACCAGGATCCCCTGTGACAGAGGCGCCAGGATCCCCCGTGGACGAGGCGTTATGTGCCGGACCCCAGCTTTACACGATAAATTGGCCCGTGGAGAACTGCTGTGCGCACGTTTACATACTACACGGATACGCCGAACATTGCGAGAGGTTTGTTTGTTGGGTTGTTTGTTCAGGAGGGAAATAGTGTTTAACTTTCCAAAATTTTGTAATGTTATTTTGTAAGTTTAACCAGTTAAATTAATTATGAAACTCGCCCGATTTTTTTCGATTCGAGCATGGTTTTATTATGAACCTTATTACTGTAAGCCGTATCTTGTAACAATGATAAACACTTACTGTTCAGGTACAATGCTTTTTGCGAGACCCTAAACAAGCACAAGATATCCGTCGCTACTCACGACCATGTTGGTGAGATGAACTTTTAGTTTCTTCCTCTTTCTAAAACTTTAAGTTTCTTTTTTAGGACTTAAACAATTAAAACCTTATTTGAGGGCACCTTATGGAGTGTTTTATTACTTTTTTTACAATTGTGTCACGTGATAGAGGTGTTGGAGCTTTATAAAAACAATATCTTCTCAGGTCACGGACAAAGTGACGGACACAGATTTCACGTGGACCGCTTTGACACGTACGTGACCGACGCAATAGAGTTGATGAAGGAGCACAGGCGGGAGGTGGGCGAAGATAAGCCGTTTATAATGTTTGGGCACAGTATGGGTGGGCTGTTAGCTACTCATTGTATGTTGCAGGTTCCTGAGCTCTTCACTGCATGCATACTTAGTTCTCCTTGTTTGAAGGTTAGTTATTAAGTAATTAGTTATTAAGTAATTAGTTGTTAAGTGAATAAGTAATTAGTTGTTAAGTGAATAAGTAATTAATTATTAAATAATTAGTAATTATGTGAGCTCTGAATGTGTGACTTAAGTATTACTATTATCGTTCTCCCATGTTATTATTTCTGATGGCCAATCATGGACATTCGATATCTATTCGAGAATTTTCAGATTTCGAAGTTTATGTGTGTATTTGTACACAGTATTTTCCGTAAATTTTGAAACTGACAGTGATTTAGTCTTTCTATTCTGTAGATCCACGGGAAATACAACAAGTTACCGTTGCGCGTCGCTGCACGTGCGTTGTCCTGGATAGCTCCAAGATTCTACATTCCCAGTCGCGCCCTAGCACTCGACCCTAAGGACGTGATCGCAGACGAAAAGGACAGGTTTGAAACTCTAAAGTTTTGTGATATCTCAAGGTATGATATTGTGAAACAAATTAACAACCAGGAAATTAATAGGACTTTATTTTGTCATCGGTCGATTAGTAGTTGTCGTTTTCAGGGAGGGGTACGCGACCGACCCCTTGATCTGGCACTACCAGAGCAAGCCAGGGTTCACCGTGGCAGTGTTTGATGCTATAGACGAGGCACAGAAAAACTTGATGAATCTGAAAGTAAAATGCCTTGTACAGCACGGCACAGATGACCTGGTATGCAATTAATCATCATCCTTTCTTATTGTATCTCAAAATTTTCAAAATCCACTTTATCCATCACATAATACTTTTTTCGCTATTATTGAGGTTTAAGCACTCCGTTCAATATGACAGTTTACCCTACTACAGGTGTGTGATGTGGCGGGGGTTGAACCCTTCAAGCGGATCCCTGAGGTTGCCCAGCTGAAGCTGTACGAGGGAGCGAGACATGCTCTCCTGCTGGATACACAGGAGATAAGGAATGTTGTGATACAGGACTGTTTGGACTTTATAAACTCGGTTGTGTTTGATTTTGAGACGTCTTCGTCATGAGGGGGTTTTATCGTTTTGAAAAGGCCGTGTTTTTAGAATATTTACCGTAGATTGGCAATTAGGCACATGTTTGATTTTTAACTTTTGTTTCTTAATTTGCTGTTTATGCTGTAGCCATAATGTGTTAAGTCTTTAAAGTTACATTTTCAATTGATTACTAAAAGTTGGTCTGTTGTTTGTTATTAAATAGTTTTTCATAAATTTTTGGACTTAGATTAATTCGATGTATTGGGTCCAAGTAATTGCGGACATAGTTGACTATGTGTTTACCGTGTTTTGGGTGCCCATCTTATTTTACAGATGATTTTTATTCTTTAGATTAAAATTAAAATTTATTCCACTTTTTGATTTACTCCACTCTCCGTGCTCCGTATGATTTGTAATTTCTCCTAATATAATTGCTAATATTATTGCTAATATATAATTGCTCCTGATCCTAACTGTAACTAGGTGAGACCGAGCTAATAGTAATAGTCGTTACCAGTGCGCGGCCGGTGGACAGGGTGGTCTTAGGTCTACTTACCTGTAGTCTACAGGTAAGTAGCTACCCGCGCGTACGACTATTAGCTCGGTCTCACCTAGTTACACTTACATCTTCATGACATTGACAATAATATAATTGCAAAAAACGATGAATGATGATACTTTGTCTTTATCATTTGTTGTATTGTGTATGTGGTTCAATTCAGATTTTTTATTTTGTTGATCGGATGAAATTATATTGTAATTTAAACATTAAAGCAAGTTTCGTAATAAATTTGAAATTACGATTAAATCATATGCAATTATTATTACAGTTTGAGTTTAATTTGAACGTGAACAGCTAGTGAAGTTGATCGTGACATGATATTGATTGACGATGTTGTGAGTTTTCAGTCATTGATCGAATTAAGTGAACGGTGCTCTTTTGTTACCTGACCCGCCAATCCAATGCATGCGGCCAATCCCTGTGCATGCAGTATGAGAGCTTTTTTCAAGCTTCCTGAAGGTGAAATAAGGAGCAATATGGACCTACTAGGTACAAATTGCATTCATGTAATAAGTTAGTAAGCTACCTCAACCTGGGGAGTGGGGACCTCGGGCTATCAGTATCAGGAATTCATTAAAAAATTATAAATAAAGATTCGGAATGACAGGCTGAGCGCCGCCGGTAATGTAAAAAGTAATTGCGATATATTTAAAAGTTTAGTCATAGTGCACTGTCTGACCTTGATTCACGATGTCAATCCTTTACATGCGCAGCCCGGCGAGGCTTGCACATACGTTAATGTACGCGCGCTACTTCGTAGAACTTGCCATCGGGCCATTTCTGATTTCGAAAAGAAAGCGGCGCTACTTCGAAAAAATGTAGACGAGTAACACCCGTCAATTAAATGGTGCATCGTACTGAACTAGCAAAGAACATTATTTGATGCTCGAGAAACATTATTTGATGCGCAACCCAGTAGTGCCGTATGTTGTATCACGTGGTGACCCCCACGGTCGCTTCACTATAGTAGCGTCTTCGACGCTACAGGGGGAGCCGCGCACTTCGTGCGCGGCGGGTCATACAACGTATGACAAGCCGTATGCAGATTCGATCGGCGAGATGCGAAGCGAAGGATATATAACATTGACATCGTGAATCAATGTCCGACTTAATTAATTCCGCGTACGATCCTGTCATGTACAGAATGCAGAATAACAAATATTTTAGAAAAATCATCTGTCATCGTGCATGTGATGTGAATTGGCTAAACGGGAATTCACCCAAACGTGGGCTTTCGGCCGGTACTATCAATTATATAAATTATTTATTCATTATTGCTTAACTTGTTCACCTAGCCATGAGTCTACGCGTATAACTGCATTGCGTGACGCGCTTGTTTCGGCAGTCGCACGCTTCTTCAAGCGAGATCAGGGCGGTAGTTAGAGCAACTTAATTTGTATCACGTTGTGGCCCTCATTGTTATTTCATTTAATAATATATAATGTTACGTTGCACGTTGGAGAACTTCGGCGCGTCGCGCAAACTATTAACGGGTGATACTCGTAAAATATCTGTTCCATATATTGGACCGTTACCTGGGGACCTCAGGCTTTTATGTTCGTAAACATAGAGATTCGGCGGAATGACAGGCTGAGCGCGGCTTATGGTAAATTGGACCGTCGACGAGCCCAACTCGGCGCGCATCCTGGTAGGTTGTGAACCTACAAGCAAACAAGCTTTCTTGCTTCGCATCTGACAAGATTGTTGCTTTGTTAATTCGCAAAGCAACGATATGGAAGGGTAGACATTGTCAATCAATTTATTACATTGTAGCGCGATGCGATGCGTTATTGTGCCGCGCACTCAATGAGGCTTCTCACTCGCTAGATCGGCGAGATGCGCTACTGTGCCGCGCCGAGCTGCGATGAATTGTCATCGTCAATTAATAATATATTACGATAGTCGAGCAAGGCGGGCTTATACAACGTGAAGCAACCAACCACGTGTCTGGCAACGCATTCGTTTCGGCGGGCTTGATTTCGAAATTTTATTTTTTTGTAATTTTCGTGCAAACTTGTTTTTGTTGATTTTGCAACCGATATTATCGACGGTAAAATTATCCGCGATAATTTTCAAAAAATTCATTATCGGTTATCGCATATCGGCGATAATTTCTAACCAATAAACCAATAATATCAAATATTTTTCTTTTAAAATTATTTCCAATAGGTTCGAAATTCCATAAAATCATCGGTCAAATTTTTGTCATACGTTGTATGACCCACCGCGCACGAAGTGCGCGGCTCCCCTCGTATCGTCATAGTGAAACGAACGTGGGGGTCGCAACGTGATACAATCAAATTTAGCGTTATTGGACCTCTACAGCTAACTAGCTAATTCTCACCGCCCACTTTCACTCTTGATACAGTAAACTGTTAGCATGGATATTTATTAACTAGTATGTTTCCCAATAGCCAATTCCCACAGGGTAAAATTCTATTTCGCCAATAAGACTTCTAAGTGAAGTTACTTGTTTTTCTTTGAACATCTGTAAATTGTAATTTGCGCGCACTTGAATTGATATTATCTGATTGCTTTCTAAATAAATTTACGATGCCGTTGTGGAATTTCAAATTACGTGTTTAGAATTCGTGTAATAGTAACTCAGGACTTCCGTAATCCTCATTCACAAAGGTGACGAAGGTGTACCGTAATTAATTATGTCAGTAATATAAATCAACAGAAACTTAGCTCATTGTTGTGACAAAATTTTATCGCCAATAATTATCGGTATCGCCGATAATTTCAAAATTGTAATCGGTTATCGGCAATAAAAATTAACCCTATTGATTGACAATGTCAACCCTTCCAGATCGTTGCTTTAAAAACGAGCAAAGCAATGATCCCGTCTTCGAAGTGGCAAAGTCCTCCGATTGTTTTTGTAACGTACAATACAAACTATTCAAACTATTGTATCACTTTTATGTTTTAAGAACCCCTCTTTGAAAAGCTTTGATCTTAGCTTGGTCTAAAAGGCAACAATCAATATATTTAGACCTCAAAAAATCGTAAAAAACCGAGGTCCAAGATTTTAAAAGGTCTATCTCAAAATTTTGAATGAGCGATCTCTTCTAAATGATCTCTAAAACATGTCCTGGAAGTTATAAGGTGATTGCTAAAAAAATGTAAAAGACAGATTTTTAGACTCGATTTTTAGACTCGATTTTCAGACTCGATTTTTAGACTCGATTTTTAGACTCGATTTTCAGAACTCGCGATCGAAAATCGCTCGTGCAATACGATTACACATAAGCGCTGACCTTAGACCGGCGATAATTTCGGCTAGGAACCAAATTTTTCCGTGGGACCAAAAGCAGCTTCTATCAGAAACAACTACAAAGTCAATTTCGAGAGCCCCCTTCAATAAATAGTTAAATTATTAGATATAGAAATAATGCTTTAATGATTTCAGTAAATCAAAAATATCAATTTTTTACTACCTTTAAACATTAGGAAATCTTTACAAATCTTTTCAAAGAAAATAAATTAAATTTAATTTGTGTACACATGTCATACTACAGATAGACCGATAGTTCAAAGTTGACATGGCAAAGGGGCACTCCTGCTATTCACTTTTGTGTGCCCTTCAACAGCAACTGGGGTCATAAATAAAGGATGGACAACTAGAGAATGTTATATGATTATGACTTGTTACTTTTAGGCAAGAACTGTTTTTATCAATTAAATGATATATAATGAAGTGTTAACTAACCAGACTAACTATCATGAGTTTGAGTGCCGCACCCCTGCTCTTTTTCTCCAAACTCTGCAGTAAATTGGGTCTCACTGTAATGAGTATACATTTATTATGCAATGATTACTGAAACTTATTGATTAAAACAGGATTTATTTTAATTACTGGGTGATATATATTTGTAAAATACATTTGTTCACATTCACAGTAAAATTTTAAACCTCTCTATCATCTCAGAAGTTGTTCTGAATGTCTGGTATACCGATTGTAAGACGATTTTCGTCACTTCCCTCTCCAAGACTTGCAGCTATGAGTGTACGTGACACTGTAAATGAAAAAACTGCTTTCCCTGACAAATTGGAAAGATCACTCAAATCACACTATCAGGATCTGTCGAAAACAAAACAACAATCATTAACTCAAGCACTTTCTAAGAAAACCAGCACAACGATCTATGCTACACCCCCTATTCCTCCAGCTCATAAAACTTCAAAGAGGAAGTTGGAGGAAAGGGCAGAAATGTCATACAACCAGCATTTAAACTCCAAAGAAATTAATTTGAAACAAGTGGACTTCATCATGTACCGTAGTTTCCCCAGCCTGTTCTTCATCTGTAATCGTATGTTCTCAGAGCTGAGCACTTTTGACAAGGACTTTTCCCCACTCACCATGCTTGATTTGGGTAATAATCTGGGAGCTACGGTTTGGGCAGTGCAAAAGTTTTATGGCAAAAGCATTGACGACTATGTTATACACGAGCACAGTAAGGAGGAATATAATAGAACCATGAAACTTCTGAATGTCAAATATAAGCCGCACATTGACAATGTCACTATCATGGGGGCTTTTTCCATGTCCAGAGTACAGAATAATCCTTTTGATATTGTCACAGCTGTAAATTATTTTCCTTATTTTCAACAAAAAGAGACTAAGAAATGGTTTGATAAAGTGTGGAAGTCTACTGGTAAATATTTGATCATTGCCGACATATCGAATAGATACACTGCTGGGCGAATGTCTGAAATTCGTTCTTACTTTAACAGGAAGTACAAAAACGAAGGCCACATTCTTGCACCCTGTCCTCACGCTGATGTATGTCCAATGCGCAAAAAAAACGATTCCCAAGTTTGTAGATTTGCAATGAGCAACATCACAACTGTAACTCCCAAGAAACTGTTACCTGAAGACAAGGTCTTGCTGAACCACCAAAATGTTGAGTACACATACCTGATCCTGAAGAGAGGTCCTAAGAAAGCCACATCCCAGTTTGCTCGGCTCCTTACACCAATTACACATCATGACAAGAAACATTCGAGGAAGAAAAAAGTCCTGGAGTTCCAAACTTGTAACTCAGATGGATCTTTGTGGAGAGCCAAAACTTCATTTGAAGAGAGTCCCCATTTGTATAAACATGTGCAGTACAGGAAAGCGGGTGATATTATTGACCAAAACTGGTGGGATCATCCTTTTACTCCATCTTCTGTCTTCTGGACCTCACGAGATATTGAGGAACAAGTCAAAATGCGAACTACTCGAAACAAAGCCAAATTTTCAAACCAGGCAGATATAGATGGAACTGTTGAAGAGCAAGAAATGCTCTTGGGAGAGAGGAGTGAGGAGGAATCTCAGGAATTTCATAACTTTCCAACACATTCTAGCCTCAGTGATGAAGAAATCATGATTACTGAAGATCACTTAGAATCCATGTCCCTTCTCAGTGAAAAGGATGACCTTCCATAATAGGAGGGTTGTTGTTGCGTTATTATTTTGTAATTGTGATTTAACTTGTTGTGATTCAACTCTATTTAAATAGTTCAATTTTATTTATGATATTTAAAAGTACCTATCTGTATTAAGCCATTATTTATTTTTTAAGACTGCTCTTCGATTATTTCCCTTTGAAATGGTTGTTTTCACAAATTACAGCATGAATTTAAAATCAGGTGATAGCTCAATATTACAAAGTTGATGAAAACTGTACAATGTACATTGTGTGTGATGATTCTTTCTAAATATTCCATATAACATACAAATTACCTGTAATACATTACACTAAATAGTAAATAACAACATCTGTAGCCATGATACCCCTATTACTACTCTCCACTCTTGTTGGTGTTTTGACGGCTCAAGATCAGATAGCTGATAATACCCCCTCCCTTATATTGTTCACTGTTAACGACTGTGCTGATTGTGACCAAGCGAAAGTAGCCTGGAATCAGCTGGCCAAGTTGAAGCCAGAGGGGATAAAACTTGTAGAGGTATGTGCTTATTTTTGTGTGCATTTTAAACAGTTATATTTATTTGGTCATGTCTTTCTTTGCAGTTCGTTTAATGTTCAATCATAGTTTAATCTTTAGTAATGGTATGAATCCCTTATTAATCAGTTTATGAATTACAGTTCACTGGCTTATTTCTATTGAAAACAAGACAAACAAAAACCATTCTGGTAAACAGCTTCATCATCTTAGGCACAACAAACAAGGATGTAATTTACAATACAACGAAGCAATTATTAGCTACTTAGTTTTTGAAATACCGTTTGTAACTCATCTGAATATCCTCAGGTTAATTGTGATATAGAGGACAAAAAGTGTCACGACCACCAAGTAACTAAATTACCCAGGTAATACATAAATTAAATAACTGATCAATTAAATTTAACACGAACTTACTTTAAGTAACTAATCAATTAAACTGCTTAAATCTTGTAGCAAAACTGCTGGAAATAGATTTACTGTTGTGTAATTGTGGAATATTTTTCTGCATCCCAATTGCTTTTGTTTGATACATCATGGTCAAACTCAGAAAAACAGAGTGGGGCTAGAATTGCCGGACCCCTAACACCCAATCGCACTGCCTTCTCAACTACTAAACTAATAACCTTTTCAGTGTACTGTTCGTGTTGAGTAACGGTGTAAGGGAGTTCCAAGAAGATTACAGCGTGGACACTCTGTTGGAATTTGTGGAGAATTCCATCAAAGTTCTCCTCCTCGTAAGATTTTTAATCAATCGGATATTTGATGTTGTTCACTAAAATGCTAGAGCCTAGAATGTTTTCGCATTATGATGACGTGTAAGTAGTTACCTTGATAATACATACGTGTGTCTGATTTGCCACATGCGTTTTTAAGATTTTCCCGCTCTTGAGATTATTTGACTCCAGTCATCGAGGATCATTGATTCCAGGCTATGAGCTTTTGTTTTCATTGGGGTCTGATTGAGTCTCAGACTAAATGGGCGCCTCAAATATGATATGGTTGACTGTACTGGGAAATGTTTAATTAAATACAAAATTAGCGTTATACAAAGAGTAATTAGTAATAAGAATCGCTCGTTATACAAAGAGTAATTAGTAATGAGAATTGCTCGAATTTTGAGTGGGCCAAGAACCATCGTGGCCTTAAACCTGGACCACCTACCCCGGATCCTGGAGCCTGGTGACACGTGTCATGTGAAATAATGGTCCACCTCCCCACCAGTATCATATCTAAATAACAGACAAATTGTCCACCCATTTAATTTTTCTGGTTATCTTTAACTCGGAATCACCTTGCCAGACCACATCTTGCCAGTCTTCGAGCTGTCGTCGTTTATTGAGGGATGGTATAAATAGAGTTGCCGAATTGAGCGGCTCAGATAGAGGTGTTGAGAAGTTTAACTCCGTTTTGGGCAGCAGAAAATTCTCGTACCAGTGGCAATATTCGATTTTCTGATACAGATCATGTAAGGCGCAATGACAATTTTGTATTCTAACAACACTATATGCTTAAAATTTTCGGTGCGCGCAACGCGCGTATCAACACGTTTGGCAGATTTACGTTGTCAAATACCGCCACGTTGCAAATATGATTACGCTTCCTATATTACCCCTTACGACTAAGGTCACCGCACTTTAATACGTGTCACACACTTACATCACTAACCTTGATACCACCAGGGAGAGAATTTGCTGGAAACTGAAGAAACCCGATTAATCCATCTGGAGGAGTCGGACATGGACGTTTTGGGAAAATCTCATGCTCTAGTGTACTTCATGTACGACGAGTAAGTACTGAAACTTGATACGACTTTGGGTATTTGTTGATAAGCTACCAATTTACCATGTCAGATTAAGCCTGCCATCTGCTGGCTATAAATCAGTGCACTTCTATAACTTTATGTTATCACTTAAAAGAGGTACTTTACATGTAGCTAGGAACCATGAAACCCGCATGATTGGCAATTAATACAAGATCTTAATCCCACAATTGATTCTCAGAGAAAAAGAGCACGTAGAAGACTTCGTGTTGAGTCTCCGAGCCCACTTATCAGAAGAGTTCAGTCTTCCGGTATACATCATAGACTGTGATAAACTGAGTCACATCTGTGTGAAAGCTCCCTTCTCAGTGCAACTGCTGCCTTGTATAAAGTTCCTAGGCGAGCAGATATTTACCTACACTGGGGACTTCCTGGTGGAGAGACTGGAGTATTGGCTGCAGGTGTTCGTGTTTAAAACGAGGGTAAGGGAGGCTTACACCTCGTTCTGTTTCAGTGCTTTCCTCCTAGCTCTCTTGGGTAGCAAGTCCCACTTCATGGTTCATCTCCCCACTTCATTATCCTGAACTGTAACTATTTCAGGAACCTGAGGTGGACATCTCCGTGGAGACTATAGATGAGGACCAGGAGATAGCCGTCTGATCTACATAACGTCGGAAAGTGAACATGCTAATATTGCTTACATGGAGGGTGCTTTACTGGCCTTCTATCTCAATGAGTAAGTCACCTACCTGCATCACCTGTGTTCAGTTTCGATAAGCTTTAATAGGTCCACCAGTCTTATCTCACTGTGTGACATTGTGACCACCCCACCTTGATTCACGCTTGAAGGGGGCTAAAGTCAACAAATTATATTACAATCTTCAGTTTACCTATTCAAGACAAGCTGTTCAGTAATATTTTGACTTAAAAGCAACTTAATTTCAGCGAAAGCACAGAACTGGAGGATATGTTTAAGCTGCTGTCTAAAAAATACCGCGACACCAAGGACCTCCAAATATTTGCTATCAACTGTGACGAATACAACGCTCCTAAAGCATGTAGAGAAGTGAGTGCCACCTTCTTTTAAACTGTCTTGACATTTTTACCAACTTTAACTGACTTTTACGAACTTTTACTGACTGTTATTGACACTTTTACTGGCTTTTATTGTCTTTTATTAACACTTTCACAAATTTGTCAGTCAATTGTTCAGAATAATTTCCCTGAAAACATAGGTCGCTCAATAATAGGTATATATATCATCTTATCATGATATAATATATTGATGATACAAAATAAATGATCGGGTTAAGGTCAAACAATTGTTTCAAACAACGCAGGATCTCTTCGGACACTACTTTGTTTGAACATGATTGAAACAATTGTTTGACCTTAAAGTTAACACGTCGTTTCATTTTGTATAATCAGCTCTCGGCTCTCCGATAGGGGTACCGTCAGCTGACAGCTGACGACACCTCTCAAGTATTACATTTTGATGTAAATCATATTTAGCTAAATTTTCACCATCTCAGATGACTGACTTATGTATTATATAATATTATTATGTATTATATTATTATAACTCCAAAAGCCTAAGAAACCACTTGGTCCAGCAGCAAACATCAGACCTCTCACCCTCTCAAACTGCTCCAGAAAATTACTGTCAATGATTACCCTAAAACGTATCCAAGGCAAGCTAGATCAGTACACCGGTCCTACACAAAGTGCTTACAAGAGAGGTAGAAGTTGTGGCGATATAATTTGGTCTCAACGTATGCTAACCTCAGTGGTACTTAGAAAGCATTGGAGCTACCACAGAATGAGTATAGACATGTCAAGTGCCTTTGACACCATCAGCAGAGAAACAGTACTCAATGTTCTTGAAGATGCTGGCTGTACTAGTGATGAAATTAGGATGGTACGGCTCCTACTATCAAACACAGTGTTGAAAGTAAAAGTCAATAATACTGTATCAATTGAGTTCCAAAGCACAACTGGAGCATTTCAAGGAGATGCACTATCAGGTAATCTATTTACTGTTGTTGAAGCCGCTGCACTTATTCACCTCAGATCTGTACTCTCCCAAGTATCATCAACACCTTACCCAGTAAATCATCCAATCCCTAATCCTCCTATCTCAGAAGAATTCATGCCACTCGAAACAGAATACTCTGATGATATTGACTTTAATAACACTGAACTTGCTCCACTCAAAGAAATGCTTCCTATCGCTAAAGATATATTCCAGCAGTGGGACCTTCATATCAATTCTTCCAAGACTGAATTTGTCCATTTTTATTTAGCAGATCCTAAACCCACTGTTAAACGCAAGGTGATTGTTGGAAAAGTGTATAGAGGTGATGAAGAGTGGCGCTCTAACAAAACTTTAGGATCGTTGATGTGCACTGTTAAGGATATCAAGAATCGAATATTCCTTGGTAATGTTGCCTTTAGTAAATTTCAGAAAGTTTGGATGAAGAGCAAGATTTCAGTCCAAAGGAAGATCAAAATCTACGAGGCACAAGTAGTCTCTATTCTACTCTACAACTGCAACTCCTGGGCTGCACCACTAGCTTCGTTGAATGAACTTGATATTGCTCATCGCAAACACCTCCGAAGAATCCTCAACATCAGATGGCCTACTGGGGTTATTTCTAATGAGGCACTCTATGCTCGTTGTTATGTCACTCCCTTGTCTGTGAGAGTCTCTAAGTTTCGATGGAGAATGTTAGGACATATCTTAAGAGGACAGGAAGACTCACCAGCATACACCTCTATGAGTATTGCTGAAAGCTATGTTATTTGCTATAAATTCTGATATTTTTATGGAAGGGAGGCGGGGTAGACCATGTTTAAACTTATTAGATGTTATTAGAAAAGACTTGACTAGTAGAAATCTTGATATTAGACTTAAGAATTTGACTGATTTCGAAGACCTTAGATTTTTGGCTTTAGATAGGGAGGAATGGAAGAAGTTAGAAGATGGTTGATATTTTTGTTTTCTTTTTTATGCGTTTTGATATCTATAAGGTGCCTAGGATGCTCTTTTAAAGAGATATTTCGTACTTTGAAAGATTTACTACTACTACTATATTATTATTATAATATATTATATTACAATAATGACTTTAATATAATATATTGAATATTGATTATTGATGAATGTCATATTTAGCTAAATTTTCACCATCTCGTCTCAGATGACTGACCTTCCGACTGTGAAACACGGTTTCATGGGACGACTGGCAAAAGAGATAAGCTTCACCACGGAAGAGCAGTACGATTCTCACATCGTCAGACTTCTCAATATCCTGGCGGAGGGTGGACACATATTGGTTAGTACCACTATCAGTATGTTTTTTCCTCCTTTTTGGGTTCCCTCATCCACCAAAATGGTTTTTTTTCTTGTCGTCAAAACAGGGGGAACTTGTAAATGATGAATTCCCTCAAATACGACAAAATACGTCAAATACGTCGATGACAACTTTTTTGCGCTGGATTACTTTTGTAATCTGGTTTTGATCATGATTGTAAATCAAAGTAAAAGCAATAAAACAATATTCAACACAAATTATCATAAAGCCTTTAAAGAACTACCTAACATTTAAGCGGCTACATATCTGAAAGTATACATACTAGATTAAATCATAGATTGACATTGACAAACATAAATTAACAAAAGCACATTTACAATCTTAACACCATTTTGCCGCTTTCTTACTTCCACCATTCCTAGAGAAGGAACTTGGGGAAGATATTTGAGCTGACAATTTCAAATATCGGCGAGCAAATTCACCGATATGACGTTAGCTTTGTGTACTACTATTCGTCAGCGTGAGTGTGTCAGCATGGTTCAGGGCCTTTCACTTGGTTCCTGCTCGGTTTTTTTGCTATTCGTGTTGAGCATTCCTTTGTGTATGTCTAAATAATGCATGTCGGCGGTTCAGACACACATCACATCCTGAATCCGACCCTTGATTCATTTTCTACAGATAAGAAATCCTCACCAACTTGTGTACACAAATTAATCGCACTCATTATTGTGAAGTGATTGATCGGGAGCGCCCTTCGTACTTTCTGACATCTTCGGACTAATTTTACTGAGTCTGCAATTGACTGAATGTACCTTCCCTTAGAAGGTTTTATGTTTAAGGCTCAAGGTTATTCATTGTGGTTATAGAATCATTAATGAACAGCGTTTGACATAGAATTTGCTTTCAAAAGTTCCAACCCGAAATCAGACTAAAAGGGCGCTCCCTAACAAATACCTGAATCACAGCTAGACCACCTGCTCATTCCCGACCCCTTGTTTTCTCTTTCCTGACACGTTTTCTCTTCCCAGCTGCGGGAGGTGTCCAGAGTGTGACAAGGTGTGGGGTGATATTCACGTCCTCTATGCTAACCACCCCCTCATCTTACCGGGCAGGGTAGATTGTAACTTTAACCGTGGAACCTGCAAACAAGCTGATGTAGGTATACCTTCTGGAACATTCTAGATCGTTCTGGTATAGTGTAGCAAATGTCCTGTTTCGTTCATTGAAAAAATAGCACTGTTTGTGAGTGTTTTTTCCAGCCTCTAAATTCACCTACCCCTAGACTCGTGGCTCTGAAATCGCAGTGTACTACAAGGGTGTTTATCACAGCAAATACAGTGGCACCTTCAAATACGGCCCGATTTTCAAATTTTTAGAGAAAATGTACAAGTCGCCGCCTCCTGGTGTGTTCATTGTAGAACCTGAGGACAGATATGTCGATCGAAAAAAACGGCTAACAAAAGTAAGACATTTTTCAGGATTCAATCGTTTCTAAATTTTCCTTTTTTTGTTGGTTTTTGTGGTTGTTTGAGGGAATTCATTGCGAAAATTTTGCGAAAGCTTCGGTTATCTAACAGTTGGTTTTCTAAAACAGGATGAGGAAAAAGAAGCAACAGTTGATGATATCCCAAAAGGAGAGAAAATAGACGAATCTTCCGATGCACCTGTGAGTCCCGTTTTGAAGAAGAACTAAAACATTTTGCGTTCAAAATTGCTTAAATATTTCTCAAATCTACACTCTTTCAATTGCGTTTAGAATCGCTCAAATATTTCACATTTAACGGATATATATGCACTCTTACAGGAGCGATCAGGACACGCCTTGATTGTGACGTCAGAGAACTTCAACTACACCCTAACCAACAACAAGCTCGTATTCCTCAAGTTCTTTGTGCCGTGGTGTGGTCACTGTCAGAAACTTAAACCTACCTGGAAACTCTTAGGTTGGTGGAATGTTAATTAGTTGGTGGAATGTTAATTAGTTGGTGGAATGTTGGTGGAATGTTAATTAGTTACAATAAAACCCCGATTTACCGCGAAGTTTGAAGGAGGGGAAACATCCGCTGTAAATCGGGGTTCGCGGTAAATCGGGGTTTTGTTTTTTTTAACATTATAAAATCGGGATTTGACTGTACTTGATTTGTTAATTAAGATAGTTTGTTGAGTAATGGTTTTAGATGTTTTTCCCAAACTTTACCTAATGATTTTTATTCGACCGGTCAATCTGAACTCTAAAATTGTTTTAACAATATCTTTATTTTTATCACAGTAGTTTTATAACTGACCTGCTGACCAAGACTAATTTCACAGCTCAAAGTTTCCGAGACGTATCAGATATAGTTATAGCGATGATTAACTGTCAGAATGAAGAGCACCTGTGTAAGAAACATCTTGTTTACGGTTACCCCACTATGTTCACATTCATTGACGGGAAACAGACTTATAGGTAAGGGTTATCTATTTTATCTTAAATTGATCAGATTTATTGTTGACACTGTGGTTTTGATAAAGTTGTATCTTTGTTCTTTAAAAACATAATAATAAAATCCATTTGTACGTGACATTCACCACCGGAAAGCACAACTCCAGAAAAGTAACTAAATCAAGTTAAATCCGTGAAAACAAATGGAAATGTTAATATTTCCATGTTAACATTTTTAAACGGCTGGGGGTTCACCCTGAATTTTTTGTGAAACTTGGTTTCGAGATAGCAGTTGACCAACAAACTAGGACCGGTGACCGAACTTTTGAGGGGGTCCCGGACCCCAACCGCCAAACGGTGCCCGCGGGGCAGCCACGCCCATATTTGGTCCAAATTAGGCCCAATTTAGCCAAATACCCTGAACATGCCCAAAACCCAGATTGTAGCTAGTGGTCCCCTGAACTCGTATATGAATTTTCATCAAGATTGGACAAAAAATGACTGAGTTATGAGCCAAAAACCATATGACCATATTTGGGCATACGCACCAAATTTGATCGATTTTGGCCCATAAATTGGTCAAATATCAATATTTTTGAATGAAACCAACTTTATATGGAAGATAAGCCTATACTACAGATTCTCTATGATTATCAGCTCAATATCTACCTAACTGTGGATTATGTGTTCAATTAATTGCAAAAAATGAACAAAATCGCCCATATCTCAGTTCGCGATATTTGCGAAACTGATTTCGTTCAAAACAATAGAACTCAATAGGGTTTCAATATTTTTACATGAAATTTTCAGAATCAACGTAGAATCGCATTTCGACCTTAAGTTTTAATATGGAATTTTGAGTTAGGCCTTTAAAAAAATTTGGCGGCCAAATTCTGAAAAATGCCCGGCAAATTTCAGAATTTGGCCGCCAAATTTTTTTAAAGGCCTAACTCAAAATTCCATATTAAAACTTAAGGTCGAAATGCGATTCTACGTTGATTCTGAAAATTTCATGAAAAAATATTGAAACCCTATTGAGTTCTATTGTTTTGAGCGAAGTCAGTTTTGCAAATATCGCGAACTGAGATATGGGCGATTTTGTTCATTTTTTGCAACTATTTGAACACAGAATCCACAGTTAGGTAGATATTGAGCTGATAATCATAGAGAATCTGTAGTATAGGCTTATCTTCCATATAAAGTTGGTTTCATTCAAAAATATTGATATTTGACCAATTTATGGGCCAAAATCGATCAAATTTGGTGCGTATGCCCAAATATGGTCATATGGTTTTTGGCTCATAACTCAGTCATTTTTTGTCCAATCTTGATGAAAATTCATATACGAGTTCAGGGGACCACTAGCTACAAGTAGAGCACCTAAAATCTGGGTTTTGGGCATGTTCAGGGTATTTGGCTAAATTGGGCCTAATTTGGATCAAATATGGGCGTGGCTGCCCCGCAGGCACCGTTTGGCGGTTGGGGTCCGGGACCCCCTCAAAAGTTCGGTCACCGGTCCTAGTTTGTTGGTCAACTGCTATCTCGAAACTAAGTTTCACAAAAAAATCAGGGTGAACCCCCCCCCCCTTAAACAAAAGTTAACATTTCCGCGTTTATTCAGATACAGAGAGGAGCGGACGCTGAACAACTTAATAGATCACGTCAAGGAGAAATATTACACCGCTATAGAAGACGATCTGAAGTTTAACACTAAGCCTTTCCGTATCTCCAGTCAGAATGTGTGGAATGTTCTTGGAGTAAGGTGGGTGAAATTGTTCTACTTCTCTTGTATATGTAATTGTGCCCCAGAGTCTTGTGCCCCAGAACTTCATGCCTCAGAACTTCGTACCCCAGAACTTCGTGCCCCAGAGTAGGATTAACCGATTGTGGTTAGAGTTAGAGTAAGGGTAATGTTGCGGTTGGAGTTGAAGTTAGGGTTTGAGTAAGGGTAATGTTGCGGTTGGAGTTAAAGTTAGGGTTTGAGTAAGAAACTTTGGGGCACGACAACCTGACTATTTATATTTCGCTTGCTTTAGTTTAGTCGTATCCATGAAAATCACCATCAAGTCTGTCATTTGGTGTATTCAAAAAGACAACAACTTTGTTTTTAATTTCTTCGTTTATGCATTCCAGTGTAACAAATTCTTCATATAAGAATTAAATGCTCCCAACCAATAACATAATACTCAATAAATATAATAGATTTGTAGTGTTTTTATTACTTTAAATAATATATAATAATATAAAGTTGGTCTACCATCCAGGAAGTACACGATGGTACTGTTCACAGCGGAGCAGTGTAATGCTTGTGTTATGAACCAGCACTACTTCGAGGAAACGTGGAAAGCCGTTAAGTCACAGACTATGCTGAATGACAAGCTCATGTTGGCGACTGTTTACTGTCAGATTGATTTGGATCTCTGTAAAGAAATGGGCGTCACGCAGGTAAAATTTAAATTTAAATAATTATTATTCATTTATATTATGTATTATTAGTTATTTATCATGAATTATAAATTGGGTATAATCGTAAATCGCCACTCTTCTCCTTCAACTTAATTTTTTATTTTCTCACATAGTTTCATGACTACTTTTGGTGTATTATATGTTTAATATTAATTCTAATCTACTATCGCTGTACATTGTGTGATTCACACAAATTAAACCAATGCATTATGATAACGTTAATCTTCAAAGTGACAAGACATGAAATTATATACAATTTTCATTCGGAGTGTATTCTGTCTTCTTCAAATGTTTACCCTTGAAAATCCGTGGATCAATACTATGAACTAACTGTCAATCAACAAAAAGGTTTAAAAACAATGAAATGTACAGGTAAATTACTAAATTCTACCTGAAACTGTAAAAGTTTAAAACGACCCTATCATCTCGTTTAAACGTTTTTCAATATGAAAAAGTACAAAGTAATGAATGATTATCAAAATATAAAAAAACGGTGCACCGTAAGTAAAAACTTTCTAACACGGACTTTTTAAAACACAGTGTAGACTTTTGTAATTTTTCTATCCATGGTCTCTATATTAATATTAATGTATAATGTATAATGTATAATGTTAGAACTTAGAACAGTAAAGTCCTCACTCCTCATATAATAATCAGATCCCGATTGAGCGATGTCAGACTTTTCTTGAGGTACGAATCAAAGCTGTGTTACCTCCAGTAGGTCCTACTGCTGGTACTCTGAAATGTGAAATATTTATTAACCAGACAGCTTCCTCGTCAAATAGTAAAGCTCCAAGATACTGACAAAGATAAGGCAATTAAATGAATATTCTAAACTTAGAATTTGTTACTTGGATTGTCCTAAGATTAAATCTAATTTAACAACTATTATTATGACTAAATGTAGTTAATTATTGTACCTGTGATACCTCACTCAGTGCTCTAATCCCTCAGTCTAATCTGAACCACATTCCTTTCTTACTTTGGGGTGGAACATCTTGAAATGGGCAATTATACCCTCGGTGATTGTTGATCCAACGAAATGGTCTGAGAGAATTTATTATTAGAAAAACATTTCTCGTCGAAATGTATACATTTTGATCACCTAAGTTTCGTAGATCCAACACAGAAGATATAGGTTTAAGCTATAAGATTGAAAGACAAAAGAAGGGCCTACTAGTTCACTCTAGACATTACGCTAATATATCCCAGACTTTTTTGATTTGGTTCAGTTTCTCAGCTGTCAGGGTCTGGTTCAGATAGTTTTCATCAAGGAGAATATCCCAAATACTGTGGCTCTTTTCCAGACACTCACAAACGTCTCCATTCTCTTCTTTAGTCTCTTCTGTCTCCTCTTCTTCTTCAGCAGGACACCCAGAATCCACTTCTGTGACATTACCAGTTCTGTCCTGACTCAGGATGCTCTTCCAGGAGATGAACCTGACTTCCTGGTGCTTCTTTTCTACATCGGAACATCTCCCAGCGTTGTATAACTCTGAAATTTCTCCTGTACTGAGCACTTTTCTAAAGATATAGTTTCATCAGCTGCCCACCAAATATTTCCCTTGCTGATGGGGTGGCAGCTTCTTGTCCCAGAGTGATGACACCCCCCTCTTCTAATGGAGCTGAGGAAACACTTTTAGACCCTATCAGAGTACCATTATAGTAGGTCCTTATTGTCCCAGTGCTTGTTGACCGGCTTTGACATTGATGAGTCCACGTGTTGAGTACTGTAACAGCACTTGCCAGGTAATTGCCGCTGTTGTGAATATAGTTGTAGATACCACTATCTGATATTAGGATCTCCCAGCTGTGTGTGGACGTTTTGTAGCTTAACCAGGATCTGTATTTACCAGTCAGCTGTTTCTTTACCCATGAACACACCGTTAGGGAGTCTTTGACCTGGCTCATATCAGGTGAAAACTTTACGTAGTCACCAAGGGTGGCACTGAACTACAGTGCCTTTGCTAAGGATCCCTCTGAGGCCGATATAGTGGGGATGGTGCAATGGAGGGCTAGCAGGGCTGTCAATAGTTTCCAGTACATCATGATCTTTCTGTAGAATCCTTATTTTCCTAGACGTGTTATTTATCTTACGACTTGTTTTACTAATAAATGATACCATAAATCGCAGCATTGATTATTATATGTACATTGTATATGTAAATAATTCTTTAGTGCGAATAAAGTGTATATAGTGCATACAATTCCAAATATCGGCTACTGACACGAGAAATTAAATTGGGATATTGATTTCAATAAATTGCATTCTGATTATAATGCGACTATAATAAAAGTCTTGGTATGAACTTGGCTTTGGAACACTGGTACTTGTGACTTTTATTTAGAAATAATGTTTATAATATCTACTACAGTAACGACTAACAAAGTCCCGATAGTAGATGCCATAGAATCGTGATAGAATGAAGAATCTGAAATGAATGCGGGCTTGATGGATACAATATATTGATATTGCTAGGAAACGATACAAAATTCCTTAGCAGATTAATGTAATTAACTAATTTTTTTTATTTTTTATTTTTTATTTATTTTTTTTTAATATGCAACCTACTAAAACCAAAGGAGCCCTCCTCGGGTCATTCCTCTCGCATTTGCGAAAGTCGTCCCGAAGGTGTAAAAGGAGGACAGGATTTGTTCCCGCCAAGCTCTTACATCGCTAATTGTCGACCATCGGCCTTCACTGAAGGTAAGTTTTTTTAGAGTGGAGGCCGACAGTCAGCATGGGATGCAGGGCCAAGCGGGAAACAACGTCAAGGCCCCCTTCCACTTGGGCCATGTTGGTTTTGGCAGATACTGTGGTAATAAAATATGAAGTGAATGAGTGAAATGAAGTGAGTGAAAAGGGTTTAAGAGAGGATGCTGGAGGAGCCTGTAAGGAATTTAGGAAAGGAAGGAAGCAGGGCATGTACTACAAAAAAACAGCTACTAGTAGTACTACAAGATTGTAACAATAACCGATAAAAATTAAATAACATAGACAGCAATAAAAATGGAGTGGACATATTGCCCTAATCGGCCAAGATCGACACAATAGAACTTTTGTGACCTATTTTATCTCCTGTAAGTGATAGCTTAAGAAGTTTGATATACCCCTGCCAGATCGGCAAGTCTCCTGAAATTAATTAACTAATTGATTAATGTTACTGATCCAGTAACACCGTAGAAGAGATGTGTGTGATGCAGGCCATTCCAACGACTAGGAGGAGACCTCTTCATGTAGCATGTATGTGTATGATCCATTCTGTGCTAGGCCTTCAAAGTGGAAAAATTTGGCTATTGAAAAATTTTAATCCATAATCAGACAATACTATTACTATAGTTGGAAGAACAGATGACCGGAAAAAGAAAGGTTACTAAAATCAAACCGAATGAGACATTTTAGATTGATTTAATTTCTCTACATTAGTGCAGCCAAATGTGCTTCAATTTGGGTGTAAGATAATCATAAAATAGACATTGATCTATCAATAGTGATTTTATAAAATAGTAATGGAATACAATGAAGTTAATAATATACTTCACAGTTAATATCTGCACAAGTTTCGAGAATAAACTGTGTCGTAGACCAACCTCAATTGTGAACAGCTTTATACTAGAATTTGAAACGCTAAAAATTCAATCTCAAACTCAGGAAAGCATTACGTAAAATAATCGCCCAATTTTCCTGTTAAAATTATGATTTAACGAAACAAAATCAGTAAACGCATCGATACGGTACCGTTAAATCACAAATAATATCTGCAATAAGATCGTTATTTGTTAAAGATTTAAACTCTTTATCTAAGATCCGAGTTTATAAACACAAAATAATTATATTATCAGATGATAGTTGCCTAGTTTTGAGTTTTGATTTTCCAGAGTTATTCGAAAAACCCAGTCACCGATAAAGAACTATTTCTATCAATACCGGTCATAAAGATCTGTGCGCAATAATGCTGGGTATTACCGACGTACCAAGACTGTCTCCACAGCCGACTATCCTATCATATTCACCGTTAACTCCAATGATTTTACTACTGAACCAACATAATGACAAAACGTTTGCAGCTTTATTGTGATTTCATTGGCTGGAACTTAATATTTAAAGTGCACGCCTACTCATGACCTGTAGAATTCGAAAATCAAAACAACCAGCGATTTTGGTTTTGATAAACTGAGTGGCAACAAAAATCTCAGCCCTGCAACTTAAACTCAGCCACCCCGACGCAGCCTTGAAATATATATCGTGTTTGCAAGGTTATGATGGGAGTGAGCCGACTTGAGTAAACAAGAAGTAGCACTAACCCCGCATGGGTTCAAGGGGTTTAAAAGTGAAAAGAAAAAAATTGGATAAGAATAAAAGTTAGCAATGGACGAATGTTGATGAATTATATTAACTTGTTTAATTAACCTTAACATAAGACACAAGTATTCATTGTGAAAAACCGTTTTTTGCATAAAATATGAGCTCTACTGACCATAGAATGGTTATATAAATTCCAGTTTTAATTCCCATCTTTAATTGCAGGTCCCATACATAGTTCTATACGATATAGACGAGAAGATAGATCCGGGAGCAGCCCCCTCAGAGCCTCTTTTACACCCTTTCTTATCAGTACAGTCTCACATAAACAGTTCTCCTAACCATCTTGCTATGGACGTTATCGCCTGGCAGAAGAAAAGCAATGATATGAGGGCAGAGATCGAGGTGATATTCGTTTGTTATATGATAATTTGTTGATGTTACAATATGTTATCTTGTTGTGGGACTTAACGGCAATTCGGTAGTGTGGCAAAGCACGGTTAACGCACGGTTAAGACACGGTTAAAGCACAGTTAAGGCACGGTTAAGGCAAAAGGGTTGCATAAGGCACGGTTCTTAAGGCACGGTCAACGCACGGTTAACGCACGGTTAAGGCACAAACTGCCCAAAAGCAATATTAGAGTAGCATCAATCAGCCACTTAAAATTCACTTCTCATTTTGCTTTTAAAAAAGCAAAAATTACGAACCATCCCTTGCAGGAAGAGAAATCTCGGGAGAGGCGTGCTGTTGAGATTAGTGCTAAATCTTCCACACCTAAAGCTGCCCCTAAAACAGAAGCTGTGACTGAACTAGGAGATGATAATTTCAAGGCTCAGCTGAAGAAAAGTACGTTTTTTTTGTGTGATCTGTTAGTTTATTGACTATTTATCGCAATCCCCGATTTACCGCGGGTTTTTTCTTTCCCCAAAGTCCGTGGTAATTCGGGGTTTTACTGTGTCGAGAATTTGTAATATTAAATATCAAGAATTCGTAATTATAAATATAAAGAATTCTAAATTATAAATGTCAAGTATGAAGGTGAAGGTAACTTCACTGGTTAACCTTGTAAATTATAACAAAAACTCAACATGAATATCTCCTAAACCAGGCAGGTTCACGCTGGTAAAGTTCTACGCGCCATGGTGCGGGCACTGTAGAAAGTTAGCCCCCATCTGGACGGAAATTGGAGAACACTACATCAACCAACAAGATGTTGTGCTGGCTAAAGTGAACTGTGACGCTCACGAGAAACTATGTGACAAACACAAGGTATAGTAGGTCATGTTTTAGAGATTGAGTTTTAACTTATTGTGCTATGAAATGTAAGCTTACTTAATTAGCATATTCAACATAAGATTTAACACATTACACACAAAATATTAACGTCTCACTTCCAGGTTAACGTCTTCCCTGCCCTGTTCCTGTTCGAGAACGACAAGAAACTGAAACACGCCTGTAAGCGCCGTAAGAAGGAGGATATAATGCAGTTTGTTGATAAGTTCCTGAAGACTGCACCTGCTGACGGTAGTGGTGAGTAGCTTATCTTGTTATCTCCTTCTTCAAATTGTTATCACATATTTAGTGTTGGTATTTCGGACTTGAAAACTGTTGTTATAGACGTTTTCACCACTCTTTTTAAAAATATCATCATTAACGTAATCTTGCTTTGCAGCCCCAGTAGAACCTGTGGAGGAACCAGAACTAGTGCCAGAGAAGAAACTAAACGGAGTTCAGGGCGCTGTGTGGCAGCTGGACAAGGAGGACATGTTGATGCTCCTCGAAGATAAGAAGAAAGATTTCCTGTTTGTGCTGTATTATTACGGGTACGTTATAACTTATAACATTTAAACTTATTGGAGATATTATCTACTATCAATTAATTACTGTTTAGTGTTTTCATTGTCATACCACGGATAATCGGCGAATTTATTCCGTACTTTTTACAATTTATCGTACATGATTATATTACCCACTTGAAAGTGGTACTTTGATACCTGCATACCTGGCCAGTTAATTATATTTAAGTGACATAAAGCATTCTTGTTCTATATTTGTAACCCCCCAAACCCCTCACTCGTTGTATCCCAGGAGTGAGAAGAAGCTAATGTATAAGCTGAGTGACACGTGGGACAGGATAGCCACCATGTACATGGATGATAAGAGAATCACAATGGGTCGAGTAGACTGTGATATAGAGGTTATTTAACTGCTGTGTAATTAGTTAATTAATTAATGTTGTGTTATTAGTTAATTAATTGACCGCTGTGTAATTAATTAATTAATTAATGTTGTGTAATTAGTTAATTAATTAACGTTGTGTAATTAGAGTTTGGTCACAAACGATAAGTTGCGAGTTTGAATCTCGTTATGAAGTAACGGTTTTGTTCGGTTTCTGTTTTATTTTGCGTCTAGTGCGAAGAGATCGCTGGTGAGCTCCCGACTAGAATTTTGAGAGTTTATGATATTTATCATCTGACTAGTTCCTCTTTTCAGTTGAACCTTTGTTTACGCTACCAGTCCAACACAAGGAAAGATTACCCTCAACTATTCTTATATGATAAGCATTTGAACGTTAGTTTCGAGTGTATGAAACGAGGTGAAGCCCAACTGATTGAGTTTATCGAGAGTCACATGGAGAAGAAATCCAAGGGAGAACAGGCCAAAGATGAACTTTGATAACTTATTGTTGACTTGATATACATACAATATTATAATACTTTTTATATAGTAAAATAATTTTTATTTTTGATATTTTTGTACAGGAACTTATATATTTGATATTGAGTTCACCAGTTTTTTCAGTGGGAAATTATGTAATTTGGTTTGATATTTTCGGAAGGCTAGCTATAAAGTCAATTTGCCCCGAGTGTCGGGTATGTGGAAAAATTAGAGTTCCGTTAAATCTTGGCTTTAGGTATCTTTAGAATAACCTTAAAAATAGATCTCTTGACGGTTTTTTCGCGTTTCTCAGTAAGGATCATTCGAGCATTTTCGATATTTTGTGTCATTTTAATTAGGGTCTAACACGTATTTAAATTGTCTTTCTATTTTTATTGACTGGGTTTATTACCTTGTGTAAGACTATTTCTCGTATTTTGATATGTGGTTTGAAAGTTTATTATCAGAAATGTATATTGATCAATATCATCTAAAAAACACCGCAATTTATAATCAAACACTCACTTTTTACATTTTATATTGTACATAATGTCATGAATGTAAAACATTAAGATTTCCCCTACTAATATAGAGTTATCTCGACTAGCAAAATGTTGTAACATAAACTTTTTATACTTTTATAAACTTTATAGCTTATACAATATACATTTATACAATTTTATTCTCGTTATGATATTTTTACATGGGTATTTCAATCTATATTTGACTGTATTATAACTATAAGATCAAATTTATTTTTGAACTACTGACTTAAAGACGGAGTTTTTTATTTTCATCAGTCGAACTTTAAAATGTTGTTCTAACCACTAACAAAACATTGCTTGTCAAAGAAAATACTTAGAATTAGATGTTAGAACACTCAATTTTAAAGTGACTAAAGCTTCAAACATGATATCTTTCTCACTTTGTGCCACACCATTCGCCAAGGTAGATTAATTATAGAACTGGTATGATAACCAATTCTAATAGTAATGGTTTACGAAGCTGCTCTGCTCTGCAACTATACCGACCTTCACATAACCATTAATTTTCACTTATTACGTGACGCGCTTGTTTCAGAGCGTGCTAAATCTTACCTGGGGACCTCAGGCTATCATGTTCATAAACAGAGATTAGGCGGAATGACAGGCTGAGCGCGGCCCAGTAAGCTAAATCGATCTATCTACACTCGATCTTCGAGATTTTTCTAAAAGGGCCCCCCGACAGTTGAAACAAACTTGAATCGCGGTGTATTTTGGACGCTGATTCCGAATCACCCGGGTGATTGATATATGCCCCATGACATAGGGTTAAAAATAAAATGCTTCCTTGGCTGTTGTGTGTTGGTGAGATATTGCCATTGGCGAATTACAACTGTCTCGATCACGTGATATGGCCATATTATAACATATAACTATAATATAATAAGGAATTTGGTCTAATTTCTCGTTCATCGTTCGCTAGGGTTAGGAATTTCAGCAAATGCTTGGATCAGATTAGAGGGTTAGGGTTTCAAATAGTTGTTAAGGGCTGTTATTAACCACGGTACCAATTTAGTCAGGTGTTAGTTGCAAGTACCGGGTAATAATCACCTCTCCCATGTCCATGGTATGTAGTACTTTATTTCCTCCAAGAAATTATTTATTTAGAGCTCCTTTTGACTTGGCTAGAACTATACATGGGAGGCCCCGGTTATATCAAGAGAGTCCGTTTCGGAAGGTTCTGAACCCACGATTGAGCGTCTTAAAACTTTTGTTTTATGGAAATTATAGTTTTGCTAGAATTCAGAGTTTCATGTTACTTCTTATTTAATTTAGTGCGGTTAGTGATTATAATTCAGACTTTCAATTTTGGTGGTTTGACACAAATTGAAACGACAATATAGAACAAAATATAGAACAACTAATGGTAGTATAATTAATGAGCGAAAACCTTCTTAAATTGAAAGATGTTTATATAACAATGGAAGTAACCTTTTGATACTATACTAATTAATTGAAACGGTAGAAATTCTTCTCATAACCTAGTTAAAGGAACTCTAAGTCTATGTTGGTGCAATCACCTTTTGATAAGTCTCTCTCTTAGAAATAGTGTAGGAGGGCTGGAATATCACGCGTCTTTGACTGAGTCTCACCGTCAACAGTTTGACTGTCACGAATGGTCTGAAAGCAATATCTTTTAACTATGGCAATAGAAACAATTTATTACGTAACCAACGGGAAACTACTTTAATCCTGCACTCGTAAACATTAATATAAAAGAAATATCAATTCTTACAGCTCTATCAACCAATACTTAATCAACTTAATTATTAAGACAACTACTATTTTATGCTGACGTTATAACTGAACTAATTACCTCGGTTGACGAAGGAGAATCAATTATTCTAGCAGGTATCGGCAAAGGCAGCACGGTTTGAGCAGGAATGTTCGTGTCTCTCTACCTGGGAACGGAAACGTAATTTTGTACAAAGTATATAATTTTGAGAGCACAGAACTACGATTACCAAAGATATTCTTAAACCTATTTATGTAAAAACTAATGGAAAAGGAATTTACCTCGAGAACAACTTCAATCCGTATAATGGTCCTTCAAGTGAGAAGGAGATCGGGAATCTTATCGTCGTTAGCTTACTTCTACCCGAAAACTTTGGATAAAAAGTAATCAAAGAATCATGCAAATTACTCTTACGAGGATTTAAGATGGCAGAACGTTAGGCAATTATGAAGGATAATTTATTTATGATAAATGGAATATTAATTATTTGGAGGAGGTATTATATGTATCTTCTGCTAATCAAGTTGCACTTACTTAACAGTCACTGTTCTTTAATGTACGGGGGAATCTATTCGATGTGACGGATCGGATCCACTGCAACCTGGTAGTGGTAAGAATTTACTTTCAGTGTACTGCATAGAATTTATATGCCTAGAGGGTACGTGAATAAACACTAGAAACATTGTAAATATAAATTTCACGTCAGACTCTTTTAATAAGAAACAAAATACTAATTTAAACGGCGAACAGTAATTTAAAGCAAGGAACTTACTGGAATACTTATGACTGGAAAGGTTAAAGCACCCGGGCGGAACCGGCTTACTGAACTCTGTTTACAAGCACGTTGCACTGACAGACTGCCCTGACGTGAGAAAGACATCGGTCCTTCGATCGTTCTCCGCTATATCTCCCTGAATTTCCCAGAGTCTATTCTGCCGTTCCAGCTTTTTCTCAGGGAACGCAGTATTGTTCATCACGATCGAGATTGCTCCTCCTTGTTTACTGGGCCGCGCTCAGCCTGTCATTCCGCCAAATCTTTATTCGTGTTCATGTTAATGAACATAATAGCCTGGGGTCCTCAGGTAACTCCTTGTTTAAACTCCACTGCTAATCATTCCTCGTCACGCTTCGTCTTGTGATAGGCTGGTCTTGTGCTCCTAATTAACCCCTCCATAATAGTTTTCTCACAGAAAGTGTCCTTTTGTTAATTAAACGTCAACGTATATTCCATTTCTGGTATACTTCTATCGTTAACAAATTTACTATCTATCCTCTATGGAAATGGTTGTTAACTATAATTATAAGCCTAAGTCATTTAACTATCTTTAAAGGAAGATTGAAATTAATATAGAATTTCGAGGTTCCTTACAAGGGCCAGCTAGAGAACACATTGAAAAAAAGTCGAAAGTCACGTAACAGTGGAGTGTAGAATGATTATTGATTAATTGACGATGTCAATTCATCTCAGCTCGGCGCGGCACAGTAGCGCATTTCTGTGAGAAGCCTCATTGAGTGCGCGACGCGGCACAGTAACGCATCGCGCTACAAGATTATCGATTAATCATTATCCGCTTGTTTCTGGTTTCGGCGGGTGCAATCGATCAGGTCTTTACATATAATCATGGTTAGAGCAAACTTATTGTTTATATGTAACAATCTTATATAAAAAGAGTTTTATAAAAAACAAGCATATAATTTTAAATTTAATAATTGCTTGCATGTTGCAGTATTCAGTATTTGTAATGCACGCCCGGCGCCGCCTTCCGGCTTTTCATATACTTATTACTTGTGAAACAAGCGCGCCTGCAGTGCAGTATGGTGCAAATAAAAAGTTAAGCATGCAATGGTTTTATTACTGGGCCGCGCTCAGCCTGTCATTCCGCCAAATCTTTATTGTTAATGAACATAATAGCCTGGGGTCCTCAGGTAATGGTTTTATGGTTAGGTGATCTTAATTGTTAATACAGCATATTTGATATATATTTAACGGGTAATACTCGTAAAATATTTGTTCCAATTTTAGGACCGTCGACGAGTCCAACTTGATGCGCTTCCTGGTAAGTAATAAACCCATTAATATATATTCAAGTTAAAACATAAAAACATTTTGCCGGTTGAAAGTTTATTTGGCAATTGTTAATGGTCTGGCCCGGCGCGCGCTACTTTGTAGCACTTGCCATCGGGTGGTCATATAATATTTCGAGACGAAAGTGGCGCGCGCTACTTCGAAGAAAATTAACATCCGTCAAGTAACATCCGTCAATAAGTTTATAACTTATCAAAACGCGCGCCATGTTGGACTTGTCTTAACCCAGCAGGCCTTACTGGCTGGGTATCGCGTCTACACAGCTTGTTGAACTTCGCGCGCGCTCGTTAGTTCATTGCATTTGCACGCTTCAAACATTCCAAGAATCCAATTGCATCACCTACCACGTAATACGATTCAGCCAATCAGATAACAAAATTCAAGAATCCGCAAAGTTAAAGCTGCGCACTTTTAAAAGGCCCAAAATAAGACTTTTCGCTATAATTCAAAATCTACGTTGTCTTGAATTTTCCTCCTGGGGAGGAAACGATATTTTTACAAAGCGAACATTTTGTTGAAAACCAGACGTTTCTATTTCTTTTATTTTTCAAGTTAGGCCCCTACCAGTAAGGTTTCTTGGGAATATTTAAAACAACTATTTCACGAGTATCACCCGTTTAAGTATAATACAATAAATTAAGTCAAGTGCGATGCAATTGGCAGAGCACAATATAAAAGTAACCGCGGAAATTGCCCACTGCTACCAATATCAAATATGAAATATCAACAATCAGTTAATACTATATACACATCAAGTCCATCATAGTGGAAAAAATTTTAGTGAAACAAATTTAAAATTTTATCCTTTATTTTACAATCATAATATAATAATATTTATAAGCCTCCGTTTTGAAAGTTTTAAATTTTAATACATTCACATTTCTATTTAAAATTCAATTTTATGTACAAGTCAATAACTGGCCGCCAAAGCCGCGCATTCTTGAAAACAGGATTAACTTGATTATAGTTATACGACTATGTAAATTTAAAACTATCCGTGGTTTTTTCTTTTAAATAAATAAGTTATAATTTTACCTAAGTCCAAAGCCAGCTTTGAAAATTTACTATTAAATCATAATATATCGTCAACTTTAAATATTTACAATGCAACAATTCATTAATCTGTAAACACGCGTACTCCAGCCCCTAAACGCATAAATTGTTATGCGGCGCGGCTCAAGCCGCGCACGCACGTATTATTTTATACTGTTTGCTGTCTAATAAATATCGTGCCAATGTGTACGTCTAAATTGTAAACGTTCATGTTTGGTGTAAAGTGAATCCAATTGGGACTAGTGACAAGGATAAGGACCCAAGTGCCTGTACGGCTTTTTCGGACCCCTGTGGACCACTACTCTTGAAATCACTCTACAACATTGAACATTTATATCTACTACGTCATTTGGCAATTATTGTCATTAATCTAACTTTCTAATTAATTGCCGAGGGGGAAGAGTAAACGCTTCACATTAAAATTCAATATACAAAATTCAAAACCATCAATACGGTATTAAATATTATGGACAAATCTATAGATCTATTTCGTAGTCATATATTCACATGATTTGCTTTATATTATCTTAATACTGTAATGAAGTACATAACAGTAGGATTTATGTTTCGAGAAAGAAAGGTTGCGGTCAAATTATTAACAAAAGTAAACAAAAGTCCATCAGGGACTCCGTGGAGTCGAAAAAGGTACACGGCCGCTGTCTGGTGCTGCTAGGCATTTATTGATCAAGATGTTTTATTGTATTGATTTATAATGATTCTATTGTTCGTGACTAATCAAGTTCTAAGTGGAGGTATAAAGTGCTGCTTAAGATACTTCGTCATCTCATGTCCAGTATAATGATTAAGATAGTATACAATACAGTTTCAGTAGTTGACCCATACAGTTAAGTCTGTCATAACTCACAATCGTTAAGTCGTCTGTCAATTGTCAAAGTCGTGTGTTTATTCGTTGAGATAGCAGTAAGATAAGATGTTGCGCGCGCGCGCGTTTAATCCCGTCGACGTGAGATGTGACAATGAAAACGCCATAGAATTATTATTTCCGCGCGTTACGTAGAGTTTACCAGTGTGTAATACTAGTTAACACTGGGTGTACACTGAGTGTAAGTGTAAGTTTCATATACAAGCCGTTGAATATTTTCAATTTTGAGTGTATCGTGAGCATGTTTTACAGTGCGATTGCTCGGTACTAGTGTGTTTGTGTATATATATATATATCATTTGTGGAGTATGGTGTAAGTAATGTTTTTGGTTGGAGTGCAGTGGTTGTACAGGGTGGGCCAAAAGTCAGTACCCATACGTTGGCCTTAATAGCTCCGCCGTGTTTTATATTTGAGAGCTGTTGCTTTGCAGATGGCATACTGTACTTACTGGTTCGAGGATTCCGTCGTCAAAATTTGAAAATTCGAATATTTTAGACCACGCCCATTCAATATTAAAACACCTATATTGTTTTCTCTGAACATGCTGAACGCCTAATTTTTTCAGAGACGGTAGATTATCAAATGTTGCATATGATCTGAGAACATGAGGCAAAACGGATTAGAAATGACGAAGTTATTAAGCTTTTTCTGTATCTCGTTAACAAAATTGACTGGGTGATTATGTGACACCGTGACACGACACCTTAATTGGGCACCCTTAACAATTCCCATAATGTTTAACGGGGTAGTTAACGGGGTCACCTTATCACGTGATTAGGTAAACCAATCACCTGATCACACGTAATGAATGAACTCGTTATGCTTCATATCTCGGTCATCTGAGAAGCTACAGTTCTAATTCTTTCAGGACAAACGTAATTCGAATGGCCAAACACAATTCAATAACATTTAGCTTGATCCGACTATCCAAACTATCACATAAATGTGAAAATGAACTTCCATTTGAAAAAAATGAACGCGAATATTTTTCGAGATGACAAATTCCTCGAGCCAGTGGTAGTACTAAGTCATACCAGAAGGAAGTATTTAAATTGGGCACTCAGTGACTGAGCTATAAAGGCCAACGTATGGGTACTGACTTTTGGCCCACCCTGTATGTATGAGAAAAGATATATGGTCATTTTAGTAACTCACATAAATCAGAACTTGAGCTCATTTGTGGCAAAATTAAGCTCACACCAATCAAGTGTATCATGCTTGAATTGCAATTCTCGTAAGGCAATTTTCAATATATTCTTAAACCCGTTTGTCGGAGTATTAAAACTTATCTTACTTGATGTTTGTCGACAGCTGTTCCACATGTAGGATGATTGGTAGATGAATTGTGAGGATGGTTGTGATGTAATGAAATAATCCTCTCGTCGTGGTGACCTGTTAAATGATGAGTACAGTGATAATGGTTCCTCTAACTTATTAATTTTGAATAGTTCTAAGAGACAAGTGTACTTGTACAGATTGTGGACCGTTAACAACCTGTGGGTTTTGATTGATTGAAATAAATTTTCGTGCACATACAGAATGAATGGTTAATAATTTAATATATATGTAGACCAAGGTCTGTGCACGGGATGCTTCCTGGAAGAATCCAGTTCTTTTAGCGGGGCACCCTACCTAAAGCCAAATTGAGATATAATAATCATATTCCTAAGAAATAATCAGAAATCGAATACCAATCAAATAATATGATATATATGAGTAGTAACCATATTTACTATGCAAAATGCCCCAACCACATAGTGTAAATTTATATAGAATTCAAATTCCATATCATCATTAAACCTCAATACCTAGTCAATATAATAGCCCAAGCAAAATTAAATAACTTCTTATATACCTTACTGTCATACTACAAATTAATTAAACATTTGAAATCTGTTGACCAGAGAATAAATTCTAAGCCTAATGCAAGTGAAATAATTTAGATGCAATAATGAATGCCTAATGTGAGTATCATTTGTCAATGTCCTTGTAAAAAAGTCTGTACAAGAGATATGAGTAACTAATATAGAAGAAAAAACAGGAAGTTGTCGTCTGTTGTAAAATAAATAAAATATCTAGAATATAAATTAGAATATAAAATAACATTCAGTCAATGTGTCGTCAATAAACTGTACAATTATCAAATGTTAAAACTGGGTGATACAGTCACCAAAAATAAATACTAAGTATGATAAGTTAATAAATTAAATGTGGTCTATAAAACTACCACTAAGTATAATAGGTCAATAAATTAAAAGTGGTTTATAAAACTACCACTGTGGGAACCCCTTCTCCAGTTAAAACATGTCAGTCATGTGCAAAATCAATCAGAATGGTAAGGTGGTAAAAAAGGGAATATCTTTTCGATGCATCAATTATATATGCCTCAGATTTAAAAGAATTAGAAGTTAATTAGTTATCGTCGACTATGATTGCAGTGTAAAATTTTTCATATGAATTGTCGACGGTATAATTAGGGTCTGTTGTTATAGATGATAGTAGCTGTTTCTTATACGAATCACTAAAGCTTTTAACATCGGGCAGATTTCGTAGATCTGTTGGAACATTATTCCAACATTTTGCCCCCAAGTATTGAAAGTTTTTATGTGATGTTTTTATGTGATGTTTTAAACAAGGGCTTGGAGTGTTCTTTTTGGTAAAAGTCCACCCCCAGTCTTTGCTTATCAACAGGTCGTGTTCGGGCACACGTTTTAAACTTCTCTAGGTAAGCTTCTCTATCCCCAAACAGAATTCTTATACACTTTTTCTGTGTTTTAAAGAGAGGTTCAAGTCGATTATTGCTAATACCACCCCACACAGATATTCCAAATCCTAAATGTGATTCAAATAGAGTATGATATAAATCCTTATAATACTGCTTTGGGACAATGTGTCGTATTCTGCACAGCTTTCCTACTTCGCATTTAAGTTTTGAGTTAAGTGACTGCGTATGTGATTTCCAGTTAAGTTGGTCGTCAATAATAACGCCTAGAAATTTAGCTTCTTGAACTCTTTTAATAACTACATTATTTAAAGTTAGTACGTTCTCGTCATTTTCTACTTCCTCTTTGGCCCGTGAGGGTTTAAAATGAATAAAACAACATTTCTTAATGTTAATATGTAATAAGTTTAGTTTCATATACTTGTACACAAATGATAGAACTTCATTTCCTTTTTCGTATAGTCTTTTGACACATGTGTCTTCTATAAATATGTTAGTGTCGTCGGCAAATAGTATAAACTTTCCTATAATTGATGAGTTACGGATGTCATTAATATAAATAATAAAAAGTAAGGGACCAAGACAGCTCCCCTGCGGCACTCCATAGACTACTGGAAGTTTCTCGGAGTCTTCACCTAGTACTGAGACATACTGGTATCTGTTCGACAGGTAACTTGCTATAAGGTTATTTGCATTTCCACGGATTCCATAATTTTCTAACTTATGCAGTAACTTTTCATGTGATATTGTATCAAAGGCTTTACTAAGATCAATAAATATTCCAAGAACGTGTTGTTTTTTCTTGAGGCAAGATTCTACGTGGTTCACTGAGTAATTTAGGGCATAACTGGTCGAGTGATTTTTACGGAATCCGTACTGGTTTTCATATAAGGAGTTCTGTGAATGAAAGAAGCTGTATAATCTATTGAATATAATCTTTTCAAATATTTTACCAAACACAGCTAGCGTTGATACAGGTCTATAGTTTTCAAGGAGTTCCTGGTTATCTTTCTTGTAAATGGGACTAATCCTTCCAACTTTAAGGTCATCTGGAAATATGCCATCCTTCATACATTCGTTATACAGTACAGTGAGTAGAGGAGTAACTATTTTAGAGGACTGCTTAATTACATGAATCGGTATGTCACTTGCCTTGCCATTTTTAAGTTCAGATATAATTTTGCTAACCTCGTCTGTTGTGCATTCATGCATGTAAATGCTGGAAGTGTTTGAAAGCGGTAGATAATCATAGAAACTAGGTATACTTGTTATGTTAATTTGTCCAAGATCATTGTAAGCGGTATTTAGGTCAGAGGCTAATGATACAAAATATTTATTGAATTCGTTTGCTATGATCCTTCTATTTGTTATCTTAACGTTGTCTATGGTGAACAGCGGCTTTATTTCACGCCGCCGTTTACCTCTTATACGATTTATTAGTTCCCAGGTCTTTTTACTATCACCGCTATTTTCAGCAAATTTACCAGAGAAGTATTCTGTTTTCACAGTCATAGGGGCAGGGATGAGGTTGTAAGAGACTTCTGACAAAGGTGGCTCATATTTTTTGTCCATTCTTTTGCCTATGTAACCTCGTAGAGCAATGAGTGTAGTCCTTAACATGGCAAATCTTATTTTAGTTCTCACATGCCTTACCACATCGCAGTATCTCCTTTTCCTTTTCCTAGCTATAAGGTCTGCTACTCTGTTTACAAACCGCTTACAGTCCTTGGACATGCTTCCAGTTGTGAGAAATAGAGCCATAACACACAATAAAGTTGTCAGTACATGATTCAGTTAGGGATTGGGTTAGGGACTAGGGTGACTGGGTTAGGGTTGAGATCAGATTAGAGTAGCACACTACCTTAAAGTCCATGGTATACAGGGTGGGCGGTTCCTTCTGGCCATCATGTATAGTCTAATTTTGGACAATTTTGCATATGTAAAGTGGTTATAATTCTGAAAAAGGTTTGTGCCACAAGTCCTAGTGTGTTAGTCAACTGCTATCTTGACATCAAGTTGCACTAAAAACAGGCCAGATCCCACAGGCTACCCACAGTGCATATAGTGCATAGTTGCACTGGACAACAGGCCCCAGCGGGCGCCTGTATTCTGCACCCCCCTCAAATTTTTATCTACCAGTCTTATTTATTTATATATATATTTTTTAAATCTACTAGTCTTTTTACTGCACTCAATTATTTCCTTCAGGGTTCACATATTTTGTTTTTTTTGCCCTGAACTTCGGTTGTAATTCTGTTTTAGTTGACTGATTCATCCATGAATTTTATTTGATTGTGGTTATGTGTAGTGAAACGAAACATAAATTGATTAAAAAGTATTTTAAACCCTACAATATAAATTTACTGGTCTTGCAATATTACATTTCTGTTTTCAGGTTTATAGCTATATGTAAATCCCTGATGTTATCAAGTCTGTTCAAGTGGTGAACAAGTTGAAGATGAGCAACAGTTCGGACTCAGCCTCCAACAGTCATGCTGAGGAGCAAGCAGTCAAACATCATCCAAGGTATCAAACTAGGTTATTTATACTCTATCATTATTATTATTCTGTGGTTGCAAAACAGGCTTGAAAGTATCAAGGGGTTTCACTATAACCATGGAAATATGATTTGAAATAAGTTTACATTGTCACGTGTCAAAACAAGCCACATTCTTTGACAGATTCTCAGGGCTAATGTAGTTTAGGGAACTCAAAACGTTAATTTTAATTACAATAGGTCTAGGTGTGAGGTTTGACAATAGATATCAAAAGTTTAATTACATGTGTTTTTTTATTATAACCAATTAGTAAATAGTAATCAACTCAGGATACTTATAGCACCCTGCAAAACATAAAAAGTACCATTTTGTATGTATATCTAAATCATTTAATATTCATTTGTGTTGCAAAATTTAATAGTTCAAACCAATTCAATGTTTTCAGTAAGAAGAAGGACTTTGTAGAGTTTGACGACATGGTGTCGGTAGAGACAAGTCCAACTGGAAGGTTTCTGAAGTTTGCAGATGAGATAGGAAGCGGCTCTTTTAAGAGGGTTTACAGGGGTCTTGACACTGAGACTGGGGTAGCGGTTGCATGGTGTGAGCTTCTGGTTAGTCTTTTGTTATATCCTATTGATGAGAATCTTTTTACTGAACAATTATTATACCGCCTTGGACAGTTTGTGCTGTTATATTATTGTCATAAACAGAATTTAATAATGATGGGGTGGGTGGTGAACCATATTTGTTTTAACACTTGACAGTGATTTTTGGCTTCAGTTTGCTGGAAGCTGATAGGTTAACTGTCATGTATTTAAAAATTATGGTCCACATCATCAGATGTATATTGGTATTTGGTGCTATTTAAGATACTTTTGGTGTGGTTAAAGATACTTTAAACGCAACTATTACTATCAGTGGGGTTAGTTAATAATGTATCCTAATTTGTACAGGAGAAGAACAAGTTCTCCAAGGAGGAACGTAAAAGGTTCATAGACGAAGCAGAGATGCTGAAGACTCTAAACCACCCAAACATTATCAAACTGCACGACTACTGGGACGACAACCTCAAGGTATCTCCCAGGTTGTCCTGGTTACCGAGCTTATGAGCTCTGGAACTCTTAAAGCGTGAGTCACCCTCCTTCTTAACATTATATTTAGTTATAATAATCATTTCTCCATCGATATCATCATTGAATACAAACTCACTGCTTCATTGGAAAACATACTAATTTAAAAATCACATGCCAACTTTATTTTACAATACTATACTTGCTTTTTATTGGCTTCACAGATAAGCTATTCCAATTACTTTGTGCATAGCACGACTATTGTGTGAAGCAAACTGAAATATAAAGTTGTAGTTTTAACAAACAAAGCTTTGTTATCTCTAAAGTTGCGTATTTCTATAGAAATAGCGTGTAAAGTGTAATTTATATTTTCATTGCCGGGGCCATTTTGATAATAATATTAGAATATGAGTGACATTAAATTAGTTATTAACGAACTAATTTGTGGTCAGGTATTTAAAAGGATTTAAGAAAGTTCGTCCCAAGATTCTGAAGAGTTGGTGTCTGCAGATACTGAAGGGTCTGGAGTTTCTTCACTCTCGTCACCCTCCGATCATACACAGAGATTTAAAGGTATTTATTAGTTGCTGGTATGTGTTGTATTGTGTGTTACATACTGTTATGTGGTGTATTTAAACTATTTGTAAACTTGTTTACTGTAGTTTGCTATAGTGTTCCGCAATGCATTTAAACTATATCCAAAGTTGAGTTTAACTATTTGTAAACTGTAGATTTAAGATGTCTAGTTTTTTGTTTATTCTTAAATCTATTTTATGTTTTTAAATTCGTGTATTTTATCATGCATTAATAACGTTTACATGTATGATGTGTGTTGTATAATATCAAACATGTATGAATATTTTTATAAACTCAAGTAAGTCATCATTAATCATTTTTCCATGCCTTGAGAAAATTTTAGTGCGCAGACAACATAACGTTTAGTGTAGATAGGATTCATATCATTTTGTTCACAAAAATGTGGATATGCAGTTAGAATTACTCTGGTGCAAGCAACCACGTTACCAAGTTAAGGTTTTTACTTTTTCTACCTATGCATGTTTCTGATATCATATTCTATATATCTCTATAAAATGTAGAGATATGTGCAGAGACCCAGGGTTCTTGGTTACAAAAACTTTTGGCCCATGGAGCCGTGTAAACTATTTAACATAGTGTAATTTTGTGAAATTTTAGTGAAACTAATATAAGTGAAATGTAGTGTACATAATGAAATGTACAACGTATTAATTTACATTACAGAGTTGTATTTCGTACGTGAAGCAGTTTCCTGTTACCGAGCCAAATAACCAAACGCAAATTTACAAACCATTAGTGTACCTATGACAGTGTTAATTACTCTACACTGCAATTATTATATAAATGATATATAATATCATTACATTTATTACCTAATATGGGTGGAGTTTATTAAATAACACAATTAACGAATATTGTACTCTCACTATCGTAGTTATGTTATAAATTATCCTAATTATGTGACATATTGACCAGACCTGCCTTGACTAAATCTCTAACTTAACTCTAACCAAATCATCTAGATCTGCATAACTGCATAACGCTGACGTACTCTCTTTTAAAGGATAGTAGGCCCTGAGATCCGAGATCCGGCGGTGATAGGATCACGTGACCCAATCAGTGACAATTAATTGTGGAGTGTAATATTGTATATAGGGTGGTATGTTATTGGAACGAAATGTTTTAAAGACTAAATGTTAAAATAAATGTATTCAATAAAGCGTTCATTCTACTGTTTGTCCAATATTGCAAAACTTTATTTTCTAAACTTACAAGACAATACACATCTAAATGTAACTCTTATAAAATATACTGAAATACTAACAGAGTAGTTAACATTTGAAGTTAAGCCCTTCAAATTATGATATCAATCGTGTTCGTAAAAGTCCAACCTGGGCAGTGGGCCAATGGCAGCTTATCTTTATCCCTCAAATACAATAATATTACACAACGAAGTGCTACCAAATAAATTAATACTACATAAAACATCATGTTACCAAACACCCTAACCCCCCAAGTCTCCACTAACACTGCCCCGCTCCGCTCTAGACAGACCATCAAAATAACGCTCCTCCCCCAACACCCCCAACAGAACCCCACACTGCCCCTCCACTGTCTCCATATTCCTGTACTTCCCATACGTCCTCAACTCCTGCCACTTGTCCACAACCTGGCTAGAGTTCTTAACCACAGTCAGTGCCGTCTCCTCGTTATCACCACGTGGTACACCACCACGTGTTATACCACGTGTTATATCCCTGATAAACCCTCTCACACCCCCTGTTAAAGTCTCCCCTGTAAACTGGTATATCTGCTCAGCAGTGCGGAGGGGATGGAGACTCATGTCTCTGTGTCGTACCATGAGGTAGCGGTCTCGTAGCCAGGCATGGTCTCTTAGTGTTTCTAGCCATCTGATGTTGTCAGTACAGTAGTTGTACATCTCCCATGTTAGCTGAACTCTCCATTGTTGGGAGGAGGAGGGGGCTATTTCTTTTTTAGAGTCCCAGATGAAGAATTTCCCTCCGTGTCTGGGAGGTAGTTTAGTTAACTGGGACAAGGTGTCGTACTAAGTGATTCATATCACGTGGGGTGACGTCATATCACTTGATGTGACGTCATATTACGTGGTGTGACGTCATATCACTTGATGTGACGTCATATTACGTGGTGTGACGTCATATCACTTGATGTGACGTCATATTACGTGGTGTGACGTCATATTACGTGGTGTGACGTCATATAACGTGGTGTGACGTCATATTACGTGGTGTGACGTCATATAACGTGGTGGGAAGTCATGTAACGTGGTGTGAAGTCATGTCACGTGGTGTGACGTCATGTCACGTGGTAGTAATTTAAGTGTCTTACCTCCGAGACAATGTCACTGGGAGAGGATGTCGTACTAAGTGTATTATCCTGATATCAGCTGTTCTTATCTGGCTTATCTTCAGTATATCTGATATCTCTCTCATTCTTATCACCTTCAGTACTGTTAATCTGCGGTACCTGAGAGCACAATAAATTATCAGACATATTTGCTTATCTTCTAAATCTCTTTGAGATCATACATATAATTCACGATAACTGTATGAATCAGTGGCCAGTGGGTAGATTTTGTACTTGAACCAGTTTGATGCAAGGAAATTTAGACATTAACTAGCAATTTGTTAAGTTGGTCCAGGCCCATGGGTGACTTGAGGCGACTAATATCGACTGGTTGATATTAGTAGATATTTGGGCTGACCCCACGTCTCACCACATTACCTGCATATCTCCTGATACTGTTGTTCGGGTTTAGTGTACGCCTTCTTCACACACTCCCTCGAATTAAACCTCGCAACATTCTCCTCCTCACTCCCACAACACTCGTGCTTCTCCGCGAAAGCAGTCCTGAATACGTTACAATTGTGTAGGATCTGCTGTAAATACAGCATCCTCAGATCAGCCTCACTGTGGTCCTCCCTTGCTCCTACTATCTGCCCTGATAATAATAATAATAATGCAATGGTGTTTAAAACACTACTGTGACACTAAATCAGTATATTCAGTATAGTTATATTCAGTATAATATATATTATGCTCGGTAGTGTGCAAAGAACTATACAGAGGCCCCAATACTAAGATTAAAATTAAATGTAATACCGACAAAACAAAACTACCTGACCCGTACATCTTCCGTATTAAAGGGTCGTAGAACGGTTCAAACAGGTACTGAATCTCAGGGTTACTGTCGAATAGTTGGCCCAGAAAGGAGGAGCCGGTTCTGAATGAGCTGAGCAGGAGGATTATCTTCTTGTTCGGGTCTAGGGTTAGGTTAAATGCTGGGTCTGAAGATCTGTGGTAGTGCTGTATTTCTGGGTCTGAAGATCTGTGGTAGTGCTGTATTTCTGGGTCTGAAGATCTGTGATTATCCTGTATTTTTAGATCTGGATTTCTAACTGGTTGATTGTGAGAGTCTCTCCTTGTAAAGTCAATAAGAGAGCTGAACAGCGACTGTTTTACTGACAAATGTTGTGTAGAGTTTGAGGGATTGTTAATATCCATAACAAATAACAGGGGTAGTAGGCCTAGTAGTACTAGGAATACAAGTGTTAATATGATGACATTGTTACCCCTCCTCATTATATCTGAAGTCATGTTGGAGACAGGAGACAACCCTAAACGTTGTCAGGGCACAGTCACAGAACTAGTCAACAAAATCCTGATTTTACTCTGATCTTAACTAAGAGAGCGTATCACTCAAGCGAAAATCACGAAAAGTACAGCTTTAGAAACTCACTTAGCTTAAATAACAAAAAACAAGGTACAAACAATAGGAATACAGTCACATAAAATAACAGAGCTACACGGTTCACATAAAACACATTAGCTCTGTACTCAGCTCACTAGAATATACGTTATATTAAGCGTCTGTAATAATGATGTGTTCTGCTGGACTAAATATATGGTATTGTATGTCGGAGAGGTAGATAGCATGGCCCGAGTTGGCGTTAGGGTAATGACTGCCTGGTGAATATGATGATGTGTATAAAACCGCACTTTTACTGTGTTGAACTGTGTTAAACTGAAGCTTTAAACAACTTAATTAAACAACCAAATTAATCGTGGGAATTGTCATGCTATGGAAGGTCCTAGAAGCATTAGCGATCAGGGTGAATCGAGTCAACATACAAAAGTTTTAGTTTTGTTAAATCGGTACTGTTTAGCTGTGTTTTTAGCTGTCATGGTAACATTGTTGTATTTCAGTGTGATAACATATTTGTGAACGGAACCATTGGCTACCTAAAGATCGGAGATTTGGGTCTTGCTAAACTTCGTCGACTCAGCTACGCTAAATCTGTCATAGGTGAGTGAGGGTGATATTTTGTTACGTGGTGTGACGTCATTTCACGTGGTGTGACTTCATGTCACGTGGTGTGACGTCATGTCACGTGGTGTGGCGGCATGTCACGTGGTGTGACGTCAAGCCACGTGCTGAATTTGGTTAACATTTTACATTTTATTATGCTTATTGCTTATAATAGTGCATACTAATCCCAAAAATACATGTATGGATGTATGAATTAAGGTTCACAACTTGGGATTGTTGTACTCCAATCTTACAAGTACTCCAATGTTACAAGTACATCAAGTACTCAAATTATCGTACAACAAGGTATTGGATAATCCATGCAATGTCAAATACATTCACCTCTCTCCGTACGTGTTAAAAATGCTGCGGTCTAACTTTAATTGTAAAATTGTTGTACCATAAGCTGTGAGAAGTGTGTATTTAATATGATTTGTTATTTAAGGTGAGGTAACTTTATACAAGTTAAGCAACTTTACATTAGTTAAATAACTTAATATATACATTATTAATGGCGGAATGTAACTTACAGACTACTGCTGCAGTGACACTATATATATCCTAGGGTTTCCTGTGTATGATATACTTTACTTTCACTTGGCTTTGCTTTGAAAATCGTTTTGGTCTGTCTGACTCAAGCTGGCAACGCATTCTACACAGGGGTCGACCGAGGGCAGGATTTTCGACCGAGGCCGAGGCCGAGGAAAATACAGTTAGTTAAGACCGAGGCCGAGGACAACCGAGGTTTCTTTTTTTGACCGAGGCCGAGGCCGAGGCCGAGGAGTGCAAATTTTGACCGAGGCCGAGGCCGAGGAATTTTGGCAGAAAAATTGTTGGGAAAAAGGGCATTGTTTATTAGGAAAAGCGCACTGTACCTAATCAGATTGTACTGTGTACTATACTGTGTACACACGTTACAATCATTATGAAGGGGCAAGTTCGCCAAGAGTCAGGAGTGGGCATGCTAATAAGCAGAGCTATCCGAGGTACCGCGACAATTGACCCCCCGACAATTGACCCCCGACAATTGACCCCCCGACAATTGACCCCCCGACAATTGACCCCTATGTAATTACACTGGGGTCAATTGTCGCGAAATCTAGGGTTTAGTACGACAATTGACCCCCCGACAATTGACCCCCCATGTAATTACACTGGGGTCAATTGATCAGGTCCTGGGTCAGGGTTAGGGTTAGGGTTAGGGTCCTGGGTCAGGGTTAGGGTTAGGGTTAGGGTTACGGTTACGGTTAGGGTCCTGGGTCAGGGTCAGGGTCAGGGTCAGGGTCAGGGTCCTGGGTCCTGGGTCCTGGGTCCTGGGTCCTGGGTCCTGGGTCTTGGGTCCTGGGTCCTGGGTCAGGGTCAAGGTCAGCCGTGGGTCAATTGTCGGGGGGTAAATTGTCGGGGGTCAATTGTCGGGGGGTCAATTGTCGGGGGGTCAATTGTCGCCCACCCCTATCCGAACCTTGCTGAGTGTTCAAGGAAATATCTATCTGCGCCGGTGAGCTCAGCAGCACCAGAGAGATTGTTTTCTACAGCAGGGCACATCCTGAAGTTAAATCGCCTCAGCCTTAAGCCAACAAACTTTGAGGGGTGCTTGTTTCTCAAAAAGAACATCGGAACATTTGGGGACGACTTCGGCCCCTGTCCAAATGAATTTGAAGCCCCAAATAAAGAGGACTGTCCCCCTTCTTCTGAGCTGTGCACAGAAGATTATTCTGATTCAGAGTGCTCAGATATTGTCATTTCATCAGACGATGAATCTTAGACTATGATATTTTTAGTTTTGTGTCCTGGTCAATTGGTCGTTTTATTTTCAATTTTACAAATTCGTTTACATTAACCTCACAAACCTTACAAAAATCCTCGGTCAAATCCTCGGTAAAATCGTCAAATTTCGCCGAGGCCGAGGAATTTCGAATCTATTTTTGACCGAGGCCGAGGCGAACCGAGGAATTGTCCTCCTGACCGAGGCCGAGGCCGAGGCCGAGGAAAAATCGCCATTCCTCGGTAAAACCGAGGCCGAGGCCGAGGACTCGGTCGACCCTTGATTCTACAGAAGCATTGTTCTATATAGGGGGGGGTGTCACGTCCGTCTATGTCCGCTTGTCTCATAAAATCCAAAAAGGACAGGACATAGGCGGACATAGGCGGACATAGACGGACATAGGCGGACATAGACGGACATAGACGGACATAGGCGGACATAGACGGACATAGGCGGACATAGGCGGACATTAATGGACACCTAAATTGCTAAATAAAATGTTCAATTTTTGCTGTTATAGGGGGATCATGTTTTTTGTCCGTTCGGTACCCTATATTTTCAAAACGGACAAAAAATAGAGCGGACAAAAACGGACAAAAATGGACAAAAACGGACAAAAATGGAAATAACATTTAGATGCTTCCTCCTCCTACTCTACCTCCTCCTCCCCTGGGTCTTCCTGATTTTCCTCAGTCCTCTTCCTCCTCCCCTCCTCAGTCCTCTTCCTACTCCTCCTCCTCGTCCTCAGTCCTCCTCATCAGTCCTCAACAGTCCTCCTCCTCCCCAGTCCTCCTCCTCCTCCTGAGTCCTCCTCCTGGGTTCTTCTCCTCCTCTTCGTCCTCCTCCTCTTCCTCCTCAGTCCTCAGTCCTCCTCCTCATCCTTCTCCTCAGTCCTCCATCCTCCTCCTCAGTCCTCCCCCAGTCCCCCTCCTCCTCCTCCTCTTCAGTCCTCCTCCTCCTCCTCCTTTTCAGTCCTCCTCAGTCCTCCTCCTCCTCCTCCTCCTCTTCCCACTCAGTCATCCTCCTCAGCCATCCTCCTCAGTCCTCCTCAGTCCTCCTCCTCAGTCCTCCTCCTTCTGGGTCCTCCTCCTCCTCTTCATCCTCCTCCTCTTCCTCCTCGGTCCTCAGTCCTCCTCCTCCTGGGTCCTCCTCCTCATCCTTCTCATCAGTCCTCCTCCTCCCCAGTCCTCTCCCAGTCCCCCTCCTTCTCCTCCTCCTATTCAGTCCTCCTCCTCCTCCTCCTCCTCAGTTCTCCTCAGTCCTCCTTCTCATTTCTCCTAAGTCCTCCTCCTGAGTCCTCCTCCTGAGTCCTCCTCCTCTTCCTTCTGAGTCCTCCTCCTCCCTCTCAGTCATCCTCCTCAGTCATCCTCCTCAGCCATCCTCCCCAGCCATCCTCCTCAGCCATCCTCCTCAGTACTCCTCAGTCCTCCTCCTTCTCAGTAATCGTCAGTCCTCCTCCTCAGTCCTCCTCAGTCCTCCTCCTCCACCTGAGTCCTCCTCCTCCTCCTCCTCCTCCTGGGTCCGCCTGGGTCTTCCTGATCCTCCCCAGTCCTCTTCCTCCTCCCCTCCTCAGTCCTCCTCCTACTCTTCCTCCTCGTCCTCAGTCCTCCTCATCAGTCCTCAAAATTTCTCCTCCTCCCCAGTCCTCCTCCTCCTCCAGGGGCCTTTTCCTGGGTCCTCCTCCTGGGTACGGTCCTCCTCCTCCTGGGTCCTCCTCCTCCTGGGTCCTCCTTCTCCTCCTCAGTCCTTCTCCTCCTCCTCCTCAGTCCTCTTCCTCCTCTTCCTCCTCCTCCTCCCTCTCAGTCATCCTCCTCAGCCATCCTCCTCAGCCATCCTCCTCAGTCCTCCTCAGTCCTCCTCCTGAGTCCTCCTCCTCCTCAGTCATCCTCCTCAGTTCTCCTCCTCCTCCTCCTAGGTCCTCCTTTTGGGTCCTCCTCCTCCTCCTGGGTCTTCCTGATCCTCCCCAGTCCTCTTCCTCCTCCCCTCCTCAGTCCTCCTCCTACTCTTCCTCCTCGTCCTCAGTCCTCCTCATCAGTCCTCAAAATTTCTCCTCCTTCCCAGTCCTCCTCCTCCTCCAGGGGCCTTTTCCTGGGTCCTCCTCCTGGGTCCTCCTCCTCCTGGGTCCTCCTCCTCCTGGGTCCTCCTCCTCTTCATCCTCCTCCTCTTCCTCCTCGGTCCTCAGTCCTCCTCCTCCTGGGTCCTCCTCCCCATCCTTCTCATCAGTCCTCCTCCTCCCCAGTCCTCTCCCAGTCCCCCTCCTTCTCCTCCTCCTATTCAGTCCTCCTCCTCCTCCTCCTCCTCAGTTCTCCTCAGTCCTCCTTCTCATTTCTCCTAAGTCCTCCTCCTGAGTCCTCCTCCTGAGTCCTCCTCCTCTTCCTTCTGAGTCCTCCTCCTGAGTCCTCCTCCTCCCTCTCAGTCATCCTCCTCAGTCATCCTCCTCAGCCATCCTCCCCAGCCATCCTCCTCAGTACTCCTCAGTCCTCCTCCTTCTCAGTAATCGTCAGTCCTCCTCCTCAGTCCTCCTCAGTCCTCCTCCTCCTCCTGAGTCCTCCTCCTCCTCCTCCTCCTCCTGGGTCTTCCTGGGTCTTCCTGATCCTCCCCAGTCCTCTTCCTCCTCCCCTCCTCAGTCCTCCTCCTACTCTTCCTCCTCGTCCTCAGTCCTCCTCATCAGTCCTCAAAATTTCTCCTCCTCCCCAGTCCTCCTCCTCCTCCAGGGGCCTTTTCCTGGGTCCTCCTCCTGGGTCCTCCTCCTCCTGGGTCCTCCTCCTCCTGGGTCCTCCTCCTCCTCAGTCATCCTCCTCAGTTCTCCTCCTCCTCCTCCTAGGTCCTCCTTTCGGGTCCTCCTCCTCCTCCTCCTCCTGGGTCTTCCTGATCCTTCTCCTCCCTCTCAGTCATCCTCCTCAGTCATCCTCCTCAGTCATCTTCCTCAGCCATCCTCCACAGCCATCCTTCTCAGCCATCCTCCTCAATACTCTTCAGTACTCTTCAGTACTCTTCAGTCCTCAAATTGTTTGTCCGCTAATGTCCACAAATGTCCGCTAATGTCCACCAATATCCATCCAAGTCCGCCAATGTCCGTCCGGGTCCGCCAATGTCCGTCCGAGTCCGCCAATGTCCGTCCGAGTCCGCCAATGTCCGTCTGAGTCCGCCAATGTCCGTCCGTGTCCGCCAATGTCCCAAAAAACACGTCCGTTGTCTCATAGAATCCAAAAAGGACAGAACATAGGCGGACATAGACGGACATGACACCCCCCCCCCTATATAATATAAGAGAAGCTGTTTCTGAAACTATCACAATTCGGTATGAAATGTGCTGGTTACATAACATAACATGTAGATATAATGTAGATTGTAGATATAGCACGATAGGTTGACGTAACCTCTTTCCATAAAGACCAAAGATAAATCGAGCAGCATTGTTCTGAATCTTTTGTAAGATTATTTTTTGTTAGACCATTATCCCACATCCAGAAAGTTTTATATTTCCTCCAAGATGCGTTTTTTTCTAAATTCTGTGGCCCGCTTGCTTCGCTCGCAAGTTTGGGGAGGGGGCTGTCGGCGAGCGAAGCGAGTCGACGTGTCCAATCCAGCTGCGCAGCGAGCGAAGCAAGCAAGCTGTGGCAGGGGTCTGGGGGCGCAGCCCCCAGAAGGGTCCAGGGGCGGAGCCCCTTGGCGGGGGCTAGGGGGCGCAGCCCCCCGGAAATTTTTTGCGAAATAGGGTGTTTTAGACGGCATTTGGCATTAAAGAAATTTGTAGGACAGCAATAAACTGGGATTGAAAAGAATCAAGTACTCACGTAAATTTGGTAACTTCACAACAGCAATCTGCATTCTCCAATCAGAATATTTCACTGTGTTCCAAAACTGACAGTATGTTCCTCTTTGATTTTTATACAATCGAAACATTTTCTTCAAAAATTTCCTCAATTAATTTGTTTTTATTCCAAAAAAATATTTCGAAATTTAGGAGTAACTTCTTAATTTCCTCTTAATTTCCTCTTTTTCTACCGTTTTTCCTCCCAAAAAAAAAATTTCCTCCAAGGCTGCCTTGCAAGATGGCGTGTTTCTGGATGTGGGACCATTATAGACTGAGTTGCAGTAGTCTAAGAAACAGAGAATGTTGGAGTGAACTAACTGAACTTTTAGGTCATGGGAAAGCTTCGGACCGCTTTTTGCTAAGTCTCTTCGGTTTAAATAACGTACTTGGGAGACATAATTTATTTGAGAGTCCAGGTTAATTTGGAGATCAAAAAGGAATCCTAAGGTTCTTGGCGCTCCTAACGGGACTGACTGAGAATATATTATATTTAAGTTACGTGTACTTAATACTTAAAAGATTTGTTAATATGTTAAATTATATATTGGTTGTAAGTGATACGTTATAACTTATATAATATAAAGTGACAAACTGTATAACATTACATTGTATCATTATATAAGTTGTGTGCTAATAATATAACGTGTGTTTGTCAATACAACGAGTAGCATGACAGGTGTGTAACAATGATTTTACTGTACACTGTGTAAGTTTCATAGATAGTATAGTGTGTGCTACATGTTGTTGAATGTTGTAACATGTAAGTTCATGTTTGTAGTGTGCTGTGTAGCGTGAAGTTATGTCACGTGATGTGACGTCATTTCACGTGGTGTGACGTCATTTCACGTGGCATGAGTGTAGTGTGCTGTAATGAAGTTTTGATATTTAGTTATTTGTTTTAGGGAAAGATTAGACTTGGGCGTTGTTTTAACTATCCCTGGTTTAGAACTTGAATTTAATATTGAATAATTCTAATATTAAGAATTAATTAAGTTGCTGTATTACCCAAACCACGAAAATGTAGAAATATGTTGAGTGTATACGTGATCAGATAATACTACTGCTTTCTGATTTGTCTGCAGTAAAGGAGGACGATAAATAAAACGTTCCTGGATATTTGTGAATAAAATGTTGCGCTCCTTGAAATCTGATAAAAGTCTGATTACATTACATGATATTGTTTCTCGTGTTATTTCACATCTAAATCAAATTATTCTTTCCTATTAGGACTTATAATACATTATATGTATGTATATCGTATTATTTCATTCTTGTCATGTAATGGAATATGAGATGTAAAACGTATGTGCGCTCTAACAATATGTATAAACAGTATAATCGTAATCATGTCTTTCCTCGAACTGTTTTTAATGTAATTTCACACGAATGCTGCAAGAAAGGTGTAACCAAATTGAATGTCATGATCACGTGATTTGGTAATAACTCTGATTTTACTGTGTGGCACTTGTAATGATGGTTTAAAAAGCTTTTGATAATTACTTAATGACTGTTCACTAATATAATGCTCAAAACAAGGTCAGGCAAAACAAGGTTCAATTTAAGTACGGTTCAATTATAAGTACGGTTCTAATTAACTAATTTGGTGCAGGATTAGCTGACCAGTAATCGTGCCTTGAGAAAGGTTTAGTGTCCGACATAAAATGTCCGACAAAACATTAATGCAGACTGCAGAGCATATATTGTAAGCAGTCATCGTTTGCTTCAGATTCGTAGATTATTTGTAATTTAGGGTTCGAACAACGAAAACGAGAGTAATAAAGAGGGTTACAAGATATTAAACTATATCGCATTAACTTTAATCTTCACTAAAGCTCTACCAGCTTTATGAAAAACTATAACTTTACTTGCACATTAATTTGCCCTTATTAACCCACATTCCACAAGCTTGTCACAAACCACGTCTAGACCTCGTGAGTTCCCGGCTGTGAGTCTTAACTGGGGGATTTGTAGCACATCGGGAGGAAGATGTGTTTTACGCATCGGTGGCTCTGAGTCTTAACTGGGGGATTTGTAACACATCGGGAGGAAGATGTGTTTTACGCATCGGTGGTTGAGTCACACCCTGGTTTCTAGAAGAATTATTCTATCAGTTGCTAATAATATTATAAATCTTTAATATTAAACTTAACTAATATTAAACTTCTAATGCAGTGTTTTAATGAAGTTAAACCAATTGTGTCATTTATTATCAATGACTCACTTGTCACTGGAAAATTTCCGTCAGTCCTAAAGAGTGCTCTTGTCAGACCAGCCATCAAAGATGATAAAGGAGATGTCAATAGCTTCAACAACTATAGACCGATTAGTAACTTACCTTTCCTCTCGAAACTCATTGAAAAGAGCGTCCAGAAACAGATGACCAAACATCTTGACTATCACAATCTTCATGCTGAGCATCAAAGTGGTTATAGGTCAAATCATAGCTGCGAAACTGCGACCCTTACCATCTACAATGATCTTCTTTGTATCAGTGACATGAAAAGTAAGGTTATCCTCCTCCTTTTGGACCTCAGTGCTGCTTTTGATACTGTAAATCATCACTTGCTCCTAAAAAAACTAAAAAAGGACTTTGGTTTTGAAGGTACTGTTCTCGAATGGTTTACATCATACCTTAATAACAGATCCTTCACAGTAACTATTGATAAATCAAGATCAAAGAGATGCTTCCTTAGAATTGGAGTCCCGCAAGGTTCAATTCTAGGTCCAATTCTGTTTATACTTTACACAAAGGAGCTCAATCAGATCGCAAAGAGACATGGATTTAACATCCACATGTACGCAGATGACACTCAACTGTACATTGAGTTTAACCCACTATTTCGAGATCTCTCAACAATCGAAGAGAGAATAACAAATTGTTTTGAAGATATTAAGACCTGGATGACCCAAAATAAACTCAAACTGAACCAAAACAAAACAGAAGCTCTTGTAGTACAGACCAAGAACAGTTACTCTTCATGTCCAGTCGATTCAATACAGTTTGACAATGCAGCTGACCCTGTGGATGCATCCCGCACAGTGAAAAGTTTAGGTGTCCTATTTGATCAATTCCTAACATTTGAAGACCAAATAAATTCAATTATCAGTTGCTGCAACATCCATCTGAGAAACCTTCGAGTTATAGGCTCAAAGCTTAACTATGATCTAAAAAGACAGCTCATTCACTGCTTGATCTTTTCAAAAGTAGACTACTGCAATGGACTCTTATACGGTTTACCTGATCTTCTAATAAAGAAACTCCAGAAGGTACAAAATTCCTGTGTTCGATTCTTGTTTGGTTGGAAAGCTATCAAAAAATGGGACAGTGTCACTCCATTCCTGAAAAAAGCCCATTTTCTTCCGATACGACAACGAATAGAGTATAAGATTGCTCTAACCGTGTTCAAATGCATTAACAACATAGCGCCGGAGTATATCATCAAATGTATTGACATCAAAAGTCAACCTGTACGTGTACTAAGAACTGAAGAAGACTATTTCCTCCTAAATGTTCCTCCTATTTCAAACTATAGTAAAACCGAGAGAAGTTTCAGCTACTGCGGACCCTCTGTTTGGAATAAGCTTCCTTATCAATTGAGAACACTAACCGATATCGTCTTATTTAAAAAGAAACTAAAAACTCATCTCTTTGAAAACGTATTTGTATAAGTATCATGTATTACCTTTCTCATAAAATCCATACTTCATAAAAATAAGTTCTTATGTACATGTTACTCATGAGTCGCTTTAGATGGTTTGAACTGAATCTTTGGGTTTTGAGTTCTTTATGGCTATAAAGCGATGTATAAATTCCTACTTATTATTATTATTATTAACTTAATAATACTACAAAATATTCACCGCGTACAATATGATTCATATCATTTTGTTCATAAAAAGGTGCATGTGCAGTAAGAATTGCTCTTTTGCAAGCAACAGGTTACAGTTATTTTTACCCATGTCAGTAATTCCTTATCTCACAGTACTAAGTAATAAGTTTATTGTGTTTCAATACTCATAATAACATGATTAATTCAGGTACGCCCGAGTTCATGGCCCCGGAAATGTACAACGAGAAGTACAATGAAGCAGTGGATGTGTACGCTTTTGGAATGTGTGTGTTAGAGATAGTAACCAACCAGTACCCCTACATGGAGTGTCAGAATGCAGCGCAGATCTACAAGAAAGTTACTAATGTGAGTATACTAGAGTTACTAATTAGTAACTAAAGTTACTAATGTGAGTATACTAGATTACTAGATATAGATACTTGTGAACTGTATTTGTTTTGACACGTGATAGTGGTTATGGGGTTTGGTACGTCAATACTCGAAGCTGATTGGTTTGTAACGTGTCAGGAAATATGATTCACCTCCCTTCCAGTGGCCAGTGCCCATATCTATGTTTAATGTAGATGTGGAAAAAGGCGTGAAATATTTGGCTGTCTGCCAAAAAAAGCTATTTTTAACGTAGATCTACAAGTCATCAACCTTAGGAATTTGGTAACTAGAGTAGTATGTTTGATATAAAATATTTATTTGGCTTCCATATTTGTGTACCAAATTACATAATCAATCTACTAATATATATCTGTAAGACACAGCTTGGGAATCGCCTGCCGGAATGTTGTAATTTTAACTATTTTACGAGTGTAACAACACACCAGGGTGTAAAGCCTAACTCGCTGGAGGAAGTGACAGATCTAAACTTACGGAGGATAATTGACATGTGTCTCAAACAAGTCGCTCAGGACAGGTTTGTGCTACTATTATTGTCTTCTAGCGGTAATCTTTTTTAGTACTTTCAATATTACTATTATATAACAAATAGATTGAGAACACATAGTTTGTTAACCTGAATATTATGATGTTGTTGGTTACAATGGGAGTTCAACTATTTCATTTGTTGAAAAGAGCAAGTGTATTCTTCGTCGCAACAACATGATAATCAGAAATTTCGAAATTCAATATTTTTCCGGAAGTTAAATATTTGCTAAATACGCTCGTTTCCGTGAATTTTCGGCACAAGCATTAAAATGCACACGTACAACAAGTATTAAATTAACACGTATTTTATAGTATAGCTTTATAATGATTCTAGTTAAGTTGTTTATTAATACAGGGTGGGCCAAAAGTCAGTGTGCAAACGTTGGCTTTCGCATTTATTTGTCACATAATCACCCAGTCAATTTTGTTAACGAGATACACTAAATGCTTGATAACTTCGTCATTTCTAATACTTACTTTAATTTAGTTTTTTTCAGATCAGATGCAACATTTAATAATCTACCGTCTCTAAAAAAATATTAGGCGTCCAGCATGTTCAGAGAGAACAATATAGGTGTTTTAATATCGAATGACTAAAATAATCTAATTTCCAAATTTGGCGACGGAATCTTCGAACAAGTAGGTACAGTATGCCGTCTGCAAAGCAACAACTCTAAAATATAAAACACGGCGGAAGTATAAGACCCAATGCTCCAACGTTTGCACACTGACTTTTGCCCCCCCCCCCCCCCCCCTGTATAATCTGGATATGTCGATAAGATAAAAATATATAATAAGTACGTCATAAGACCATTGTAGATATTAAATATTACCAAAATTGTCACATCAATATCTCAACTCAGGACTACTATAAAAGAATTATACGAACAAGACTTCTTTGTGGAACTAGATGTAAAAGTGGCAGTAATCAACAAAGTTACTGAAAAATCAGATGTCAGCGATAAGAACGACCAAAAGTTCCAGTTACAGATTGAACTTCACAAGGTACGGTAGATTTTGATTGTATTTTGTTTAATTGTATTAAGTTATGTTTTTCTCATGGTCATTTTTAGAAACTATTTTATTATTCATGTAAACTAGCAAACTGCTTAAAGTATAGTGTTAGAGTGTAGACGTCCGTAGGATTTGAAAATCCACTGCTGTGATGTTTTCTTCTTCTGGACCAAAGTATAATATGTAGAGACATTCTTTTTATCTTTTCTGTGGGATAGAAAGTTCTGTCTTACCGACTACTGCATACGCCGTGCTGACTAACGGAAAGTACGATCTTGAAGAATTTGAAGTTACTATCATCTGACAAATTTGACAAAGGAGCAGAACTCTGCATCCTACAAAAGCAAAAACTCAGAGCCCTCATTCAGTACACTTGCCTTGGGGCTTGTCAACAAGTGTTAGAGAGTCGGCGAACACTACTTGTTCCTGATTCTAGTCAAAGCAACATTCATTACCCGAAGTACGTCTCTTCTCTACAGTGCGGGATGGAAAAGATTGAAAGGATTTTATTATCAGTGTATATGTATAGTATATAGTATTTATGTCGACTTTTTCTCAAGGTGTAATTTTTGTATCCAAACATTTTATTTAAACCCATTCTCTACTCCGCATGTCTAATAGAAGAAAACCTACTTAATTAAATTTGATATCAGTTCAAAAATTCCTTTTTACTGAAAGTTTTCCTTGATTATTTATTATTATGCGGAAAACCCACATAAGTACAATATACATGTAAATACTACACAGTGTATCAATATTCGTTCTTATCTCTTACATCTGTTCTATGGGGGCTGTGATAACCATTTCATACTTTGAAAAGAGTAACTCATTAACTTGCTGCAGGTCAATATCGCCACTACAAACGTACGGAACGATGAAAAGCGAGACCCGTGGAGAAAATACCAGTGTATAATTGACCTTGATAGGGAAATACCGCTCAATATTGCTGATGAGATGGTAAGTTGATAATATAAATAATAATAATGTTATGTAGTTGTACAGGTTTCCTCATAAGTCAAAATCCATGCACTGCTAAATGTAAAGTAGTATGATATACTAGATGTACTACTATAAATACAGTATGTAATCGTTTTCTCCAGATCTTGCCGGCTGCAAGCTTTTTTAAAGGTTACTCTAAAGGAAGAGTTGTCGGGATGGCACTCAATTAGCTCAAATTATGATGACGCATTGTAGTAACGCGCGAAGCTGTTGCAGTGTCCAAAAAATGTATTTTTAGCGCGAACGTACGTTTTTATTTGCGCGCAGCCATTCAGATTTATTCGATCATCTAGCTATCCTAAGTAATGCGCGCGTTATATGTGTACAATCTGCCGGAAATAGCATCGTTTGGTAATCGTACAGTGTACATGTAAACAAATTAAAGGTTTATTCATACGTTATGTTTCAGTTCCAAGAAAAAATATTCAAGAACGAGGAGATGAAACAGGAGGTAGCTAAACAGATTGACGAACAGATCAAAAAGTAAGATTTGGAGATTCGGTGTGCCCGACATTTATTTACCAGCAATTAAAATTTATGGCGTTCCTTGACATTCTAGTTTACAATCAAGGAGTGTTTTATCTCTACGGTACACTGGATTATTCACTTAATTAATCTCCCATTTTAACATGCATGATATTACATGCATGATATTTCAAGTGATATTATTTTCAAGTGATAACTATAAATGTGTATTGTTGACTGATGACTGTAGTAACAACCTCCTCCCCAGTTTCAGAGAGCAAGAAAGAGAAGAAGGCCGACAACACGAGCAAGTGCCGGTCAAAGCTGCAGTTCCTGAGAGTCTCACAGTGGAGAACACTCAGGCAAGGGAAGGGGAGAAGAAACCGGAGGAGTCAGTGAGGAGTGCTCCCAGTTCTACCAGTATCACTAAAGAGCAACCTCATGAGGACAACACTGCCAACAGGGTTAGTAACCATGGGTAACACGGTTACCAAACATTCTAGGGAGTAAAAGTGCTTTCTAGGAATTATTACTGTCTGTAAGTTTTTATTTATTAGGTCTGTAAGTTTTTATTTATTAGTTGGTGGGCCACAATGAAAATACATTTAATATCGCACAAATTAAGGTTTCAAAATTATTGTATAAGCAGGGGTTTTAATACCTGTGAACTTGTAAGAACTATTATTGGTCTCATATTAATGCTATATAATAATCTCATGTACAATTTTTCTCGTTTAATCCATCGACAAATTATCACTGTTTAGCTCATTAGCTGCTGTAATCTACATACTGTTCTGACGAAGTGTCATGTAATTGTTAAAGCCTTTTTTAAAATACATCCTTCTTACTTATTTTCCGGAAAACCTGGTACTTTTTGTAAAATGTCTCCCTATTTAGCTACAAGAAGATCACTGATAACGTAATCTACACACTGTTCTTCTTTCTCCCAATTCGCACTGAAACACTCGCACAACCAGTCACTCCACCACTGCTTCCACCGTACTGGCACTCTAACTTCCTCTCCAGCTCCAGTTGTACACGTCATTATTCTGTACCAGTCCATGTTTTCTGAACTGATGATATCGTGGAGATGAACTTTGTTGTTTGTGTAGTCCCTCGCTTCCTCCGAGAGTATGTGCCCTCCTACTACTAAACCCTCAGTAAGGATGAAGCCACATTCTCCTTTCCTGGTACAGTCATATGTAAGTGGATTCCCTGGATGTTTTATTCTGAAAACATATTTGTGCGGTTTTCTCAACCCCAATACGTTTTTGACGGATTTTACAACAGAAGACCCTTGAGACTGTATTATCTTTTCTCCGACCAAATGTATGGTGTGATAACTTGACGAGAGGTGTTCACTGTCCCTTATCATCGTCAGGAGCGTCATAAACTGGGCCTTTTTATCATTTTTACTGAAATCCAAAGCTGATATCAGCATATCTATGTAGCTTGTAGAAACTTTCTGTGGGTGCAATCTTTCTATGCTCTCTACAAATGCCACCAACTCCTCTGTACTGTGGCTGGTTGTGTAGGTTACCTTTGCCAATATTTCTATAACAGAATGCATGTTACTGATCCTACATTCAGTGATTAAGCGTTTGATATCAGCCAAACATTCACAGTCACCGTACATTGACAGCCATTCTTCTAGAACAAAATCAGAAATCGTTTTACGTGAAGTGTTTTTTACAATTTGATTTTTACAATCACAAGTTTGTGCTTTTGTAGCCGCTGTCGATAGTTTCAGGACCATCCTAAGATGACTGTTTGACATATCACTCATACCCGATAGTTTCTCCACCATCTCATAGTACAATTGTTCGTTTTGTTGTAAACAAAATGAAAACTTCATATTCTGTAAGAAGTACCTGGTGGGATCGTCTAGATGTTCCTGATTGGCTGTATGCTCAATAATTAGCTCCAGGAGAAGCTTTGAGTTGGAAGCTGTCAGATGCAGGAGGAGTTTTGACTGGTCATTCTTCAGTAGGTCGTAGTTTTCTCGTATGTATCGAGACAGGAATTGAGAGTTGTCCCTGAAACGTACCTTTAAAATCAGTGTCTCCATAAATCTGGTCACATTCCATTTACTGTGAATGTATAAACATTCTTCAAACACAAATAGAATTGACTGGTAGTCTATGATTTCCTCTATATTTCTTATCTTCTCGTCAAGCCAATCTCTACAGGATTCAATAAGCCACTGAACATTGAACACAACGGATATCTTATGAAGTTCCCTAAAATCCGATTCTTCTATGTGTTCCACTTTGTTGTCGTTTAGCAATGTCAAAAACATCTCGACAATTTCTGGGGTAAAGTCCGATATATGGTGCTCTGTGTGGCCACATTCCAGAATGATTTTCGAGAATACGCTGCTGTTTTCGACAAGACTCTGTTTAGATACTACAAGAGGGTCCCTGTCTTTTAGTATGAGCACTATTGTGTCCTCTGTCATATCTTGTAATGTGCTATAACAGTTATATCAAGATACTATAAAGATACTATCAAGACACTAGTTTTATGTGTAATTGCCATGAGTCATATCCTTGGTAACAGTATTGTCATTACTAAAGTATTTTACGCGAGTCACTGCAATGAATTAGTCAGCTAGAACTTCGTTAAGTTTAAGCGACGAAAGTTACTACCGATGGTAATTGGTAAATTAATATCGTGCAAAAATTTTGTCCAACGAAATCAATCGTTATCAACAAATGTGTCTAACGAATAATTATTTGAAAAACGAATTTAAAAACGAATAAAACGAATAATAATTTGAAGAGTTAAACGGATGATTCGGATAATTGGTAAAGGGTTGCAAACTTCCACTGCAATCTGCATTCTTTGTACTTTGTACTTTCAAGTTAATGTGAAAGTTCTGCGATTAAGCGACTAAGATTAGGCTTTAACAAAAATATCAACCGAAAAAACTTACAACTAATAAGGTAGATAGCAAAAGGCAAGGTGGACAGTAAACGAACTATTTCACGTGTACAGGTATAAGAAATCAGGGAGATTTTCTTCTTAAGAAATATTATTAGTGACCTAATCGAGAAGGTTAAGAGAATAAAATACAAATACAATGTTCATTTAATCAGGTGTTAATCAGGTGACAGATGCGTCTACTCACTGTTAACACGATATGACCTGTGCTAACAAAATGTTATGACCGGTGAACAATCGGACACTGCTGTGAATACATACCATGAGCAGCATGTGACTTTGGTATTAGATCATAGACTCACTTGTACGCTAGAAAGTGTTATATTACTTAAGGGGGCCGGGGGAGGGGGTCATTATCAAAATTATCTCGAAATTGACTTTATAGTTGTTTCTGATAGAGGGGAGTGATATTTATCAGCTGCTTTTGGTCCCATGAACAAAATATTGTTCCTACGGGTAAATGCCTCACAGAATGGCTAGCCTCACAGAATGGCCAAATTTGTAAATGTTTTTGTAACTAATTTTTTATATAAGACTGGTAGGTTTTGTGGATACCATATGAAACAAAAGTCTTCTGGCAACACTTCCTGTGGTGAAATCATTAACTAGGACCACATTTTCTGGCATAAATATGACTGTTAATGTAGAAATTTTTCAGCACTGAAAATTTGTTTTCAAATTTTTGAACTAAGTTTACATTTTGATGAGAACTTCTGGCACCAGTATGACAGAAGATGTTTAAAGAATAGTATTCATCAAACAAAACGAACATTGTTCAATATAAGAAGAAAAAAATGCTAAAATGGCTACACGCCTCACAAAATGGCCAAAATATGCCTCACAAAATTTGTTTTCAAATTTTTGAACTAAGTTTGCATTTTGGTGAGAATTTCTGGCACCAGTATGACAGAAGATGTTTAAAGAATAGTATTCATCAAACAAAACGAACATTGTTCAATATAGGAAGAAAAAAATGCTAAAATGGCTAAACGCCTCACAAAATGGCCAAAATATGCCTCACAAAATGGCCAAAATTTAAAACTCCTTTTATTCAATGAAAAAATAAGTCTAAAGTATTCACAAGCTATTTATCATACAATAACACCCCAGATGGAGTGTTTTTACAGCCGAATGAAGGTTATAAATCATGAAATCAGGGAATATGAACAACGCCACACAAAATGGCCATTTTTGGCGTAGGAAATTATGCCCTTTTTATTCAGTTCTAAGAAAGTTCACCTATATGGGGGTGTTAACAAGGCATATTAATACCAGCAGCATGCCTGAAACAAGAGCCAAAGGTTTTAGAAAAATAAAATTTTCTCGTTTTCATTTTTTTTGGCCATTTTGTGAGACATTTTTTCTTTTTTGTGAAATAATTTTTCACAGCTCAGTATTTTCGTGAGTTTTAGGTTATTACCCCATTCCTTAATAGGTTTTCTAACAACGTGTGGTGATAGAAATTTAAAAAGTATCTCCATCAAAAAATTATAGAAATTCAGATTTGGCCATTCTGTGAGGCATGTTTTTTTGGAGGAAGATTTTCCGGCCAATTTTTCTCAAAGAAAAAATGGTTATGAGAATAAATCAACCCCCGGGAAGAAAAATATGAGTGTCAACTTAGCTTCTTATGAGATAAAAACTGGAATAAAGTGTGTTTTGTGATTTTGAGAGACCTTCCTTTTTTTGGCCATTCTGTGAGGCAAATACCCGTAGCCAAAATTATTGCCGGTCAAAGGTCAGTGCTTATGTGTAATTGTATTGCGTGAGCGATTTTCAATCGCACGTTCTGAAAATCGAGTCGAAAAATCTATCTTCTATCTTCTCCTACATTTTTTGAACAATCACCCTCAAACTTACAGGATTTGTTTTTAGGATCAGTTAAAAGAGTACTCTAGAGACAGAATTTTGATACAGGCCTTTAAAGATTTTTAATTTGATTTTGAAAATCTTGGACCTCTAAAAATCGATTTTCAGAACGCGCGATAATTTCGGCTAGGAACAATATTTTTCCATGGGACCAAAAGCAGCTGATAGATATCACTCCGCTCTATCAGAAACAACTATAAATTCGATTTCCAGATAATTTTGATGAGGACTCCCTCCCCCGGGACAAAAAGTAATATTATGAACGCATTAGAGGAATCAGATTTTCAACTCACTGTAAATATGTTATTGCCCCCAATCCGAGGACCTAATTTCAAAATTGGGTTTCAATGTGAGGTTTGTGTAGATCTCTCCATTAAACGAGGTCAAACTTCATTATCTGTGAATTTAGATAGAAATAATACTCAAATTTTGCAAAATTTGGGATGCGATGGAAACTATGACTGGACATATTCCAAAATGACTCCAGTGATATTTTCAATCGCATAACCACCAGGCAGTCCATCATAAAGCTAAGCTACATTAGATACAGCTGAATCATGCAAAGCAATGGATAATGTAGAAATGGTATGTGATACTTACTTTTAAAAACGTTATAATGTTTAGTAAGGAATAAGTCTCTCTACAAATTCTGCATATAATATGATGATTA